AACAAAATACGTCCCTATTTTTAAGGAGATGAAAGGGGGGAAGAATAAATTCTAAATCTGACAAATGATTTTTAAAATAGAGCTTTAAGCATGAGAATAAAACAAAATTGTTTTAAATACGACCATTTTTAACGGAGTTAAAAATATACTTATTTGAAGTTATGCAAAAATTTGACATGAAATTATGCCATAATTTTGTTGACGACTGTATAATAATCCCTAAAAACTTACCTTTTTAAAAAAAGGTAAAAAAGGGGCGCTAAGGTCATACACTAATTGTATTCAACTGTCATATTGTCTACAAAAATAGTGATATAAAAAAATTGCACCTAAGAAAAAGAATAAAAATTTGTACAAGATAAATAGAAGTACAAGGAAGGAAACTTGTACGTGTTAAATAGAAATATTTTAATTGAAAACATTATTATACAAAATAGTTGTTTTAATTTTCAAAAATAATAATATTAAAAAATTAAAAATTTATTTAAAAATTGGAAACTGAAAATTAAAACAAGAAAATAAAAAAAATTTTAATTAAAAAAACTTGGCGCTGCCAATAAAATTGGCATATATTCCAATTAAATATATATTTAACAATATAATTGCTGAACATTTATTATTAATTTTCTTAAGATCTTCTGGATCTTCAATTAATAATTTAATTATTAAAATTCTTATATTATTTTCACAAATTATACTTTTTACTTTAGAAGTTTCTATGAGATTTATTCAAGCTTATGTTTTTTCTATTTTATTAATTTTATATAGTATGGAAATCTAAAAGATTGGAACATATTCCAATTATTAGTCTAACTTAGTCTAATTTAAATGTAATGACCTAATTAATTTATATTGATTAACATTTGAAAATTTAGACTTTTAATCCGAACAATATATTAATTGGCAACAATAAAAATTGGCAGCGCCAAGTTTTTTTAATTAAATTTTTTTTTATTTTCTTGTTTTATATTAATTTTCAGTTTCCAATTTTTAAATAAATTTTTAATTTTTTAATATTATTATTTTTGAAAATTAAAACAACTATTTTGTATAACAATGTTTTCAATTAAAATATTTCTATTTAACTTGTACAAAGTTTTCTTCCTTGTACTTCATTTATCTTGTACAAATTTTTATTCTTAGTTGGCGCAATTTTTTTATATCACTACTTTTGTAGACAATATGACAGTTGGATACAATTAGTGCATGAACTTGGCACCCTTTTTTTATCTTTTTTTAAAAAGGTTTTCGAGGCTTATAATGCAAATTACATGACACTACATATGAAAAAGAGAGATGACAAATTTGATGATATTCAAAACAATACAATTGATGTAAATCACTATGATTCAATAGTATCATATCTTCTCCATTTATTTTTTCGGTTAAATCGGGTAGAATCCGCTAAGTATTGGAAGAGTAGGACAATGCACTGTCTTATGATCAAGTAACATTCTAACGTTTTGCATTCTCACGTAAAGTCTCTATCAGCATCTCTGCAATCGTGATGTGAAAGTAAAACATGTTTGATCACGTGCACATTTGAATTTTTTTCTTTCTCCGGATTTTTCTTCTTGTGGTTGTTTCTAGTTAATGATTGTCGAAAGGAGAAAAAACAAATTCGAGAGATATTTTTGCAATCATATTATTTTTGGTAAATTAATGCGGATATTGACAACTTGACTTTATAAAATAGCGCTTATGCACTGAATCTGTGAAACATTAAGAAAAGACGGAGATATTAATTTATATATTTCTTCCTTAATATTCTTCAATACATTGAAGTTATATAGATTTACAGATTTTCAATGCATCTTTTGTGTAACTTATTAATTAAAGTATTTACTGCTTACAATTGGCTAGTTATATTGATGCATTAAATCGCATTACATGCGATAACGCAAAATCGTATATATACAGGGTGCCCCATTTTAAAAATTCCACTCATAACTTTTTTAATTTTGATTGACACATAATTGTTTCGAAGAAAATATATGTAATTTGCAATTAACAATTCCATATTTTTTCTTAAAAATAACTGTATGTTTTCTTTACATCAATTGATTCCTCTCATTATTTTGTACATAAAAGTATTAAGATAAGATAATCGAAAAATGAATATTTTACTAGATATTTTACGGTTTATGTAAAATTAAGAAATGATTTCAAGCCTCAAAACTCGGAAAGTATTTAATGAAAACTAACTTAATTATAGTGTTTTGGAAAGCTCTCGAGATGAACTATAAGAATATGCAAAAGCATATAAGGTGTCCCGTTTAAAAAGTTGGATGTGATTTTCACGTGACTTTCAGGTGACTCTTCAATGTCAAACTAATGACACCGTCTTATGTCCCCCTTCAAGCCATACAACTTTTGTCTGAAACATTTTTTTCTACAATCAAATTTAAAAAAGTTATGAGAACTTTTAAAATGGGACACCCTGTATATACAGAGTGTCCCATTTAAATTTTTCAGGAAGGAGAAGATCGATTTGAAAGTGGCCAAAAGAATTTGTAAAAACATTTTGTATATCGTAAAAAGAATTTGCAGAAACATTTTGCATATCGTCAAATTGTACAAAGTATTAGAAAGTGTCAATGACTTGGTGCCAATGGCCCAGAGAATTCTCGACGCAATCGATCATATGTAGGTCGCATTTTCCGAGAGTAGGTAGTACTGCATAAGAACCGATGCAATCTGCAATCGATTATCGTACAAATAACAAATACGTGTGGCTGAAACGTCCTCCTTCGGACACAAATACCGTTCATTTTAATGTGGGAGTGCGCGAACGTCAACCATTTGATGTAACAATTCTGTTGCGTCTTTAAATCGTTAGAATAAAATTTGCATTTGCTATTATATATATTTCAAGACAAAGGAATGTAGATATCCTTGTAATGGAAGCCAAATCATTCGAGCAATGAATCGCTTAAAATATTGACAATTTCGTTGTTTTTAATAATTCTTTTTATTGATGGCGTAGAAATTTTCGTCGTGCAATTTTGCAACTGACCCAAAATCAGCGATTGGATATACATAAGATCGAACAATTTAAATTGCAGAGTATTGTGTTCTATTATGATACAACATAAGATGTCCCTTTCACTAAAGTGGCTTTCAGTCAAGAAATGAAAGGGAAAGGAGTAAAAGATGATAAAGAGGAAGAGAACACTAAAGAATGTGATCGCTAAGGAACAGTTGTTTATATAGTTAAAATCTTGCTATATACAGGATGTTCCATTTTAATTTCCCCAGACAAATATTTCGGAAAATAATGAAAATTTGAAAAAACGTTTCAGACAAAAGTTGTATGGTTTCGAGGAGGATATAAGATAGTGCCATTAGTTTGAACTTGCAGAGTCATCTGAAAGTCACGTGAAGGTCACCTCAATTTTTTAAATGGAACTGGCCACTTTTTATTACATATTCTTGTAGCTTATCTCGAGAGCTTTCCAAAACACTATAATTAAGTTAATTTTCATTAAGTACCTTCCGAGTTATGAGGCATGAAATAATTTCTTAATTTTACATAAATCATAAAATATCTAAAAAAATATTTATTTTTCGATTATCTTACTTTAATACTTTTATGTACAAAATAATGAGAGAAATCAATTGGTGTAAAGAAAACATACAGTTGGTTTTAAGAAAAAATATGGAATTGTTAATTGCAAATTATATATATTTTCTTCGAAACAATTATATGTTTTCTTTAAACCAATTGATTCCTCTCATTATTTTGTACATAAAAGTATTAAGGTAAGATAATCGAAAAATGAATATTTTACTAGATATTTTATGGTTTATGTAAAATTAAGAAATTATTTCCTCATAACTCGGAAGGCACTTAATGGAAACTAACTTAATTATAGTATTCTGGAAAGCTCTCGGGATAAGCTACAAGAATATGTAATAAAAAGTGGCCAGTTCCATTTAAAAAATTGAGGTGACCTTCACGTGACTTTCAGATGACTCTGCAAGTTCAAACTAATGGCACCATCTTATATCCTCCTCGAAACCATACAACTTTTGTCTGAAACGTTTTTTCAAATTTTCATTATTTTCCGAAATATTTGCCTGAGGAAGTTAAAATGAAACACTCTGTATATATATACAGGGTGTCCCACCTAGAAGTGGCTACCCCCTTTTATCTTTTAAACTAAAAGAGATAGACCATAACAAATATATATGAAATTAAATGGCTTTAATTGAACTTTATTGTGAGTATAGTGGTTGATTACAAAATTTATCTGTATTAAAGAACGGAGAGATATGTATAATTTTTTTATAATAATGTAGATATTTTAATATAATAAAAGTTGAAGCGCTGTTTGAAATGAATATAACGATGTATGATTTAATGTAAATATTTTACATATTATACAAGATTTTCCGGCTTGAAATATCGCGGGCAATCCAAAATTTCATTTTCGGCCCTGCGATATAGCCAACTTCTGACTGAGTATCATGATTAAATGACAACATGATATATGTCAACCTCTAATGCACGAGTCAGAAGTTGGCTATATCGCAGGGCCAAAAATGAAATGGCGGACATCGCCCGTGATATTTCAAGTCGGAAAATCTCGTATAATATGTAAAATATTTACATTAAATCATACATCATTATATTCGTTTCAAACAGCGCTACAACTTTTATTATATCAAAATATCTACATTATTATACAAAAATTATACATATCTCTCCGTTCTTTAATACAGATAAATTTTGTAATCAACCACTATACTCACAATAAAGTTCAGTTAAAGCCATTTAATTTCATATATATTTGTTATGGTCTATCTCTTTTAGTTTAAAAGATAAAAGGGGGTGGCCACTTCTATGCGGGACATCCTGTATGTATATATATATATATATATATATATATATATATATATATATATATGTATACACTTTTATCATGCAATCCACCTGCTATGTATGACTGTTTCCGCCGCATAGAGTTTCAATATAATCCGCTATCTTTTGTACTCACCAAAACGATGATCGCTCTTTTCCAAAACAATCTCACCCAAGTAGCAATTACATTGTTTCAGAAGGGACACACCGATCTCGTCTACAGTCCTTAAATTCGTTAAGTAAATGCTACAAAAAATATACTCATTTATGAAAATGATCGATTGTCGTTAATTGTAAATAATTCGTTAGCAATACGCAAAATTACCATTTTCTCCACTTGGCGTTTATTCTGATGGAACTATAAGGCAGAATCGATTTTAGATTACCATCATTACCTAGAATCAAGATAGGATCCTTGTGAGATTCATTTATCAAAGTTCCAGGTTCTGTGTAAATGATGGTTGCCTGGATGTTATGTTTTAAGTCAATATGAATCAAGAACAATCTGTAATCATAATTTATAATTGATCATTGAGCAATGTATTTTGCTATTAAAATAATATATTTTTTAGTATAAATTATTATTATCCAAGACAAATATATTTTCACCTATGATATAATCTATCATCTGTAGTAATTAATTTCAAGCATCCACCACCATTATAGGAAAATTGATCACAGAATTCGAAAGTATTGATATTAGGGGCAGGTAATTTTTCTTCAAAATTGACGACATTATCGCACACTCGTATAATATTCCTCTTATTTTCATAGATATGTTCTATACGTGTACGTAACTTTTTAATATCATTATTTTTGTCACCTTGACCATTATTAACTCCATCGTCATCTTTAACATCTTCAAGGGTAGTTTGTGTAGATCGCGTAAATTGTAAATGCGGCGCGGGAACTGCTAGTTGCAGTTGTTGCATTCGCAAATTATAGAATGTTTTTTTTCCGTGCACGCTCTCGCCGTTTATCTTGTACGGTTCAAAATGCTCCTAAACATAAACATAAATGTTCTTAAAATTATAAATTATTTTGAATTAAATTTAAAAACTTTTCTTAATTAAATGTCTCAAGTATTTTTAATTGAATATTTTTGAATATTTTCAAATATATATTAAAGATTAAATTTTTTTGTTTTGTTATATAAATTTACTTCGCCATTATAATAATAGCAGACACCAGCACCACGACAAAAGGAAGTCTTAAATGTTTCATCTTCATAAATAGGTACATGTACATATAGATATGGAAACAGCTGAGCCCAAAATAAATCCTCTAACACCTGGAAAGTACTTGGACCAAAGTATTCATGCGTCCAACCAGGTGCAAAAATCGCTACAGAAAGATCTTGTTTTCGAATTAAATCTAACGCCTTGAACATAAAAATTTATTTTCGCTATCTCAGCTTAATCTTTCTTAAGATAATAAGACAATAAAATAATAATAATAATATAAGGCTATAATAATAGTAATAATAATAATAGTAATTACATATGCTGAATTAAATCCTCCTCCACCTGGACATCCTCTGCCCCAAACATCTAATCCTACATAAATATCTTTACCATCACGACCTAATTCCTTTGCAAATATGCGACTATTGCTAAGTCGTGATTCCGTCCAATTATAATTTAAAAATATACCGTCGCAATGTAAGAAAAATTCTCTGAGGCAAAAAAATCATAATTAAAATTTGCTAGAATTAAGAAATAGAATGTATGATATTAAATTCAATATTAAATTTATAAAAATGAATGTATCATATTAAGTATTAAATAAAAATTAATGAAATTAATAAAAATAAAAGTGTTAATAAATAAAAGTTAATAAAATTAATAAATTAATAAATAAATTAATAAAATTAATAAATTAATAAATAAAAGATTAAATTACTTATTATTATCATTCAGTTCATTCTGCCAATTCAATTCTCCCTTATTGGTAATACTATCATACCAGATAATCTCTGAATTTTCAATTTCTTTATGAATATTTTCTGTTAAATATTTAACAAAATATATTAAATTATCAATATCTTCCTGATTAATTTTATTTTCAATGTTCAGAAGCCAGCCTTCAAATTGGTAACACTTTGCAACCAATATTAAAGCATTTGCAAATTTTTTTGCATTCTCCTGTGATATAAGAATCATATTCCAAGTATCATTATTTCCTTCTGTAATTACAGTACCCAATACTTTTACACCATGATGGTGTGCTGCATTGATCCACCCACAGGGTGGAATAGTTATAAAGTGATGACTAAAATAAACAAATGTATCGACAACACTCCAGTGATAAAATATATAAGAATCATGAGAGGTAGAGCCCCATAAGAATCTAAAAAGAAATATAAAACAAAGAGATATAAAGTAACAGACTTGATTAGAAAATTTATAAAAATTTATCTCTCTTACACATATCACACACATATACATATACAGGGCCAAAAGTCTGGATATACCTAAATATCTCACAAACGGTGCATTTTAGAAAAAAATGTTTCAGGCAAAAGTTGTTTGGTTTCGAGGGAGTCATAAGACGGTACCATTGGACCTTGAAGAGTCATTTGAAGGTCACGCGAAGGTCACTTCAATTTTTTTTAATGGAATACCCTATATATTTTTATATATTCTTGTAGCTCATCTCGAGATATTTCCAAAACACTATAATTAAGTTAGTTTCCATTAAGTGCCTTCCGAGTTATGAGGCTTGAAGTAATTTCTTAATTTTACATAAACCATAAAATATCTAGTAAAATATTCATTTTTCAATTATCTTACCTTAATACTTTTATGTACAAAATAATGAGAGGAATCAATTGGTGTAAAGAAAACATACAATTGTTTTTAAGAAAAAATATGGAATTGTCAATTGCAAATTCCATATTTTTTCTTAAAAACAACTGTATGTTTTCTTTACACCAATTGATTCCTCTCATTATTTTGTACATAAAAGTGTTAAGGTAAGATAATTGAAAAATGAATATTTTACTAGATATTTTATGGTTTATGTAAAATTAAGAAATTATTTCAAGCCTCATAACTTGAAAAGTATTCAATGAAGAAATACTTTATTATAGTGTTTTGGAAAAATCTCGAGATGAGCTACAAGAATACATAAAAATATATAGGGTGTTCCTTTAAAAAAAATTGAAGTGACCTTCGCGTAACCTTCAAATGACTCTTCAAAGTCAAACCAATGGTACCATCTTATATCCCCCTAGAAACCAAACAACTTCTGCCTGAAACATTTTTTTCTAAAATGCACCGTTTGTGAGATATTTAGGTGTATCCAGACTTTTGGCGCATCCTGTATATGTATGTATAAAATTTTAAAATACTCTTTGTGTAATTTGTATAATTACCTGTCCTCCAAGTAACCACCCTTCATGTCATGACAGACAAGTGTCCTTGGCTGTTCATCTCTGTCTATTTTTTCCAATGAAATTTTCTGTGCACTGATTTCTGAACCTTGATATACATAATCAACTGACTCTGTGATACATGATACTGGTAATTCTGTTAATCCATTTTCCAAGGCATTGTATAATTCTGTCAATGTTTCAAAAGGCAATATTTCTCTTACTTCTTCACTGCTTGCCATCTTTGTGGTTTCTAAATTCCATTATTGTAAGATTCTTACTAATACATTGCTGCCGTAATATTTCCTGTAGATATCAGCGGAAGGTATGATAATTCATTAAAAAAAAATTGTTGGTTTTGATAGTAATATTATTCATTGTGGTGAAATTAAAGTGACAATTACCTAATCTTCTGATACTATTATCTACTGACAATTATCATGTACAATGAATGACAAAGAACAAAATAAGAATTTGTTAAACATTTTAGTTGATATAAAAATTATTATATTTTAACAAATTTTTATAAAAGTACTTTTTTTATAAAACTATACTTGCAATGCAAAGAATTTTTTTGTTCACATAAATATATAACACATGTTTGAGCAATATTTATAATTATGTTGTACAAAGAACTTAAAATCTCTTTTTATACAATCAAAATAAATTTACTTACTAATAAAATTTTTTTATAAATAAATAATACTTTTTATAAATAAATAATATAAATAATTGAGAAGAGGAAAAAATCAAATATATAATTTTAGAAATGATTTCTACAAATTATTATACTTTTATATATATATATATATATATATATATATATATATTTTACAATAAAACATGATCAAAAATGTAATCTAATACATACATGTATAGGTTATATAGATAAATTTGCTTTTTGTTCTTTGAATTTTATTGGTTAACATCATGGGACAGAGTGTATTCCTGCGGGGGTGAAGCTCAAAGGGTGAGGGGAAAGAAATGTCTAATGCAACGGAATATGAGGCATGTAAGATGGCGACGGATATTAATTTCACGGAGTGTGATATTTTTGAATTTCTTAATATTCAAAAATGATTCGGAATAACACAGCGATTTCAGATGATAGATGATTTCACGGAATCTCTCATATTTTATTCGATTTACGTCCGTGCGACGTGAAAATAGACGCTAAATCTGATGCATCTAAGATGGCCACGACAATAAACCCCTTATCCCTCAAGGTGCCTTTACATAGGAGCGTCTGAGCATCGAGCGTTAAAGCGTCAAAAAGTGTGACAAGCGCAGTGTGCCTATGCCAATGTTTCATGCATTCGTGATTAAAAATATTGTTTTTATTGATTTTCAACATGCACACGTTATATCTTATACAAAGAATACATTGTAATAAATAATATTCATGTTGTAATAATATATGTTTAGAAGACATATATTTATGCCAATTATTTGGTTATGTTGTACTACGTTGCTAATCGCACAATTCTATAATATATATTGTATAATAATATCTATTATACAGGGTCTACCAAAAGTGTGGAAACCCCTAAATATCTCGGAAAATATACGTTTTACAGAAAAGTGTTTCCAACAAAAGTTGTAGGGTTTAAGAAGATCTATATACTGATTCTATCAGTTTGACCTTGGATGGCGTCGTCAAGGTCAGGTCAAGGGCACATTGACTTTTTTAAATGACACCCCCTACATTTGATTGCATATTCTTATAGCTTAATTCAAGAGCTTTCCAAAACACTATAATAATGTTCATTTTTATTAAGTACTTTGCGAGTTATGAGGGTTGAAATAATTTCTTAATTTTACATAAACCATAAAATATCTAGTAAACCATTCATTTTTCGATTATCTTACCTTCATACTTTTATGTACAAATTAATGAGAGGAATCAATTGGTGTAAAGAAAACACATAGTTGTTTCTAAGAAAAAATATGTAATTTGCAATTAACAATTCCATATTTTTTCTTAAAAACAACTGTATGTTTTCTTTACACCAATTGATTCCTTTCATTATTTTGTACATAAAAGTATGAAGGTAAGATAATCGAAAAATGAATGGTTTACTAGATATTTTATGGTTTATGTAAAATTAAGAAATTATTTCAACCCTCATAACTCGCAAAGTACTTAATAAAAATGAACATTATTATAGTGTTTTGGAAAGCTCTTGAATTAAGCTATAAGAATATGCAATCAAATGTAGGGGGTGTCATTTAAAAAAGTCAATGTGCCCTTGACCTGACCTTGACGACGCCATCCAAGGTCAAACTGATAGAATCAGTATATAGATCTTCTTAAACCCTACAACTTTTGTTGGAAACACTTTTCTGTAAAACGTATATTTTCCGAGATATTTAGGGGTTTCCACACTTTTGGTAGACCCTGTATATTATATATATTAATACATTTTCTATGAAGAATATACAATCTACTTATCTCTACGGTATCTATTAAATTTTTATTACTAAACATTGTATTAGCGTCAAGATGCTGGAATCTGCCTGTTTAGAATTATGCGCAAAGGTGCGGCCTCATTGACGCTAAAAAGTAGCGTCAACCATTGGTTGAACAAAGAGGTAAGTATAGTTGCTTCATTGTTCAACCAATGGTTGACGCTACTTTTTAGCGTCAATGAAATTGCACCTCAAGGGTGCTGCGCACGTGTTTTTGACGCTCAACGCTTGACGCTAAACGTTTCCATCTAAAGACGCTAAGAAGTAACGTCAACCATTGGTTGAACAAAGAAGTAGTTGCTTCATTGTTTAACCAATGGTTGACGCTACTTTTTAGCGTCAATGAAATTGTACCTTTACTTCTTTGTTCAACCAATGGTTGACGCTCATGGATGTAAGAAATACTGGACAGAGCATAAAGTACTCTTTTAGACGAGAAGAGGATGAAATCTGAGGGGTTTATTGTTACGGTCTTAGGTGCATCAGATTTAGCGTCTATTTTCACGTCGCACGTAAATCGAATAAAATATGAGAGATTCCGTGAAATCATCTATCATCTGAAATCGCTGTGTTATTTCGAATCATTTTTGAATATTAAGAAATTCAAAAATATCACACTCCGTGAAATTAATATCCGTCGCCATCTTACATGCCTCATATTCCGTTGCATTAGACATTTCTTTCCCCTCACCCTTTGAGCGTCACCCCCGCAGCAATACACTCTGTCCAGTATTTTTTACGTCCATGGTCCAGACTCTGTATTCTAGGGACACTAGATCACGCATATCATAAGCGCCATCTCGGAACCTGCAAACGTTGTAATCGATCAGAGTAGTGGCTGCGAAGTGCTGAAGCAACTGTGTGTATATATATATGGTGTGTGTGTATGTGCGTATGCGCATTTATTGCTGCTGATGTATACTTCGATGCCAAGTGATTGTTTCGGGTTAATTTGTCATATATCGATTATTCTTTTTTACCGCATGTGACAGATTGTTTTCGTTTAAAAACAGACGTACAATAAGAAAAAACGAAGATTGCATAGAAAAAACTTTAATGATGCGCGTAAAGTGTTATTGTTAATATTTGCCAGCATCTTACAATTTTCCTTTGCGAAAATAATATTTCAGAGATTTAGCGAATTATATAGAATTCTAAAAGTAAACGATTAATTGCCTTTGTGTAATTAATAAATAAATCATTTAGAACAAGAAAGAATTGTTATGAAGATGCATATATACTTATATATATCTCATATTAGTGTTTATATATATATGTGCCAACTCTATATGCAATAACTATACATGATGTGTAATTTCAATGAAGTGTATATATGAAATTTCTCTATCATTAAAAGTGATCCAGCATCAAACAAGTGAGACAATATGGACTCTGTTACGACGGAATTGGAACATATAGAGAAGCTGGCAAAAGAGGCAGAATGCTTAAAGATACGTTTGGAAGATGAACGACAGAAATTAAATGATATTACACGTAAGAAATTAAATGATATTACACATTGTCAGAAGATTTTATTTGCTGATATGTTGCTTACATACAAACATTTGTAAACTTTCCAAATCTCCTTTCAGTATTTTATGTTACTTTTTGGTTAATTTCAAAAAAAAATTGAGGTACTATGTACAGGGTAGACCATTTTAATCAATACACGCGAATATCTTAAAAACACTGCATCAAATCGGAAAATGTTTCAGACAAAAGTTGTATGGCTTGAAAGGGGACATAGGATGGTGTCATTAATTTGATCTTGAAGAGTCACCTGAAGGACATGTAAAGATTACCTCCAACTTTTTAAACAGAACACCCTATATACTTTTGCATGTTCTTGTAGCTTACCTCGAGAGCTTTTCAAAACACTATAATAAAGTATTTCTTCATTGAATACTTTTCGAGTTACGAGGCTTGAAGTAATTTCTTCATTTTACATAAACCATAAAATATCTAGCAAAATATTCATTTTTTGATTATCTTACCTTAATACTTTTATGTACAAAATAATGAGAGGAATCAATTGGTGTAAAGAAAACACATAATTTGTTTCAAAGAAAAAAATATATAATTTGCAATTAACAATTACATATTTTTTTTCGAGACAATTATGTGCTTTCTTTGCAACAATTGATTCCTCATTATTTTGTACATAAAAGTATTAAGGTAGGATAATCGAAAAATGAATATTTTACTACATATTTTACGGTTTATGTAAAATTAAGATATTATTTTAAGCCTCATAACTCGAAAAGTATTCAATAAAAAAATACTTTATTATAGTGTTTTGGAAAGCTCTTGAGGCAAGCTATAAAAATATGCAAAAGTATATAAGGTTCCACATAAAAAGTTGGAGGTGACCTTCACGTGACCTTCAGGTGACTCTTCAAGGTCAAATTAATGGCACCATCTTATGTCCCCCTTCAAGCCATACAACTTTTGTGTGAAACATTTTTTGATTTAATGCAGTATTTCTGAGATATTTGCGTATTGATTAAAATGGTCTACCCTGTATATACAAGGTGTCCTAGACCACCCGTACACCCCTTTTCTTTCAAAAAGTAAGCATTTTAGAGAAAAACGTTTTCGACAAAAATTGTATGATTTTGAGGGGAACATAAGATGGTGTCATTGGTTTGACCTTGGATGGCATCGTTAAGGTCAGGTCAAGGATACCTTTAATTTCTTAAATGGAACCACCGATTTTTTATTGCATATTCTTATAGCTTATGTCGAGAGCTTTCCAAAACACTAGAATAAAGTATTTTTTCATTGAGTACTTTTCGAGTTATGAGGCTTGAAATAATTTTTCAATTTTACATAAAATATCTAGTAAAATATTCATTTTTTTATTATCTTACTTTAATACTTTTATGTACAAAATAATGAGAGGAATCAATTAGTGTAAAGAAAACACACAATTGTTTTTAAGAAAAAATATGTAATTGTTAATTGCAAATTATATGTATATTTTTTCTTCGGAACAATTATGTGTTTTTTTTTACATCAATTGATTCCTCTCATTATTTTGTACATAAAAGTATTAAGGTAGGATAATCGAAAAATGAATATTTTACTAGATATTTTATAGTTTATGTAAAATTAAGATATTTTAAGCCTCATAACTCGAAAAGTACTCAATAAAAAAATGCTTTATTGTAGTGTTTTGGAAAGCTCTCGACATAAGCTATAAGAATATGCAATAAAAAATAGGTGGTTCCATTTGAGAAAGGTGTCCTTGACCTGACCTTAACGATGCCATCCAAGGTCAAACCAATGACACCATCTTATGTTCCCCTCAAAACCACACAATTTTTGTCGAAAACGTTTTTCTATAAAATGCTTAGTTTTTAAAAGAAAAGGGTGTACGCATGGTTTAGGACACCCTGTATACTTTATAATTACACAAATATGACTTTTATTAATAATATATTATTCTTTCTTTCTATAAGAAAATATATTGATATATATATAATGAGATTTAGATTAATAATTTGTTTTACTGTTTTGAATATTTTAATATATCTAAATGAAATATATTTATGCCTCTACGTTTTGTTTCAGTTGCTAGTATAGCTGATAGGCTTGAAGCAATTAATTGTATAAATGTAAAACCAAGACGTATTCTAAAAGGACATCAAGCTAAAGTTTTATGTTCTGATTGGTCTCCTGATAAGCGTCATATTGTTTCCTCTTCGCAGGTATATGTAATGCTTTATTTATAATTATATTTATCTTATATTACACAATAATAGTTTATATTATGTATATATTGTATGATTCAACTTTTAGGATGGAAGAATGATTATTTGGGATGCTTTTACTACAAATAAAGAACATGCTGTTAGTATGCCAACTAGATGGGTGATGGCATGTGCTTATGGTCCCAGTGGCACTTTAGTTGCATGCGGGTATTTATAATAATAGATTAATTTATTTATAATTTATATATCAAACAAAATATGTTAAAGAAAACATTCTCACTTATAAATCGCTATTGATGATAACACACTATGTTCTATAATATTACAGAGGTCTGGATAATAAAGTTACAGTATATACATTAAGTTTGGAGGATGATGTTTCGGCTCATAAGAAAACTGTCGGCACACATACATCGTATATGTCATGTTGTGCATTTCCCAACAGTGATCAACAAATTTTAACAGGTAGCGGAGACAGCACATGCGGTTTGTGGGATGTAGAGAGCGGACAATTGTTACAGAGTTTCCAAGGGCATTCTAGCGATGTCATGTCCATTGATTTAGCACCGAGTGAAACTGGAAATACATTTGTGTCAGGTGGTTGCGACAAATTGGTCTTGATTTGGGATATGCGGAGTGGTCAGTGTGTGCAAAGCTTTGAAGGACATCAATCTGATGTTAACTCAGTATGTAGTAGTTTAATTATATCTCTCATAACTTGCCATAGTATTGTAATAACAAAAAGATTATTGATTTATTATATCTAATTGATATATTTCATAGTTTCTTTACAAAATATGTAATATTATATTATTGTATTTGTTATGTAAACAGGTGAGATTTCATCCAGGTGGTGATGCAGTAGCAACAGGTTCGGACGATGCTACTTGTCGCTTATTTGATCTACGCGCTGATAGAGAAGTTGCGGTATATGCAAAAGAGAGTATAATATTTGGAGCAAACGCAGTTGATCTTAGTGTAAGTGGACGATTGCTCTTTGCTGGATACAATGATTATACAGTGAATGTGTGGGATACTTTGAAATGCCAACGAGTGGCACTATTGTATGGACATGAAAATCGAGTTTCATGCCTAAGAGTTTCCCCGGATGGTACTGCCCTATCTACTGGAAGTTGGGATTCAACTTTACGAGTTTGGGCTTAATAGTAATAATTATTACTATTACCTTACCTTGAGAATGTTAGACTATTCCTCTGCTATTCAACATATAGTTAATATATTTCTTATTTTAGCCTATTTATTTAGATTCTCGCTTTTTCAGCTATTTTTTATGTCATTCATGTTTTCATAAAATATACGCACATGTGTGTGTATGTGTGATGTATTAAACAAATGTACATTTTTAGTAACAAACTTGCTATATCATATGTGAGATGTAATTAGTAATATTTAACATGAGTATGGCAATGTGATAATAGTGAAATTGCATTAGGCTGGTCCTAATTTACAGAAAAATTTTAATGAATATATACATGAATATATATATATATATATATATATATATATATATATATATATATGTACATGTGTATGTGTATGTATATATACACATATATAAAATTTATAGCACAAGAAAATCAGTATGTATATGACAAAATAAATTTCATAAATCCAGGTCTTTTTTATAAACATTTTGTTTTTTTTAACTTTTTTAAAAGTATATCTTTCCAGTTTTTGTTATATCTATTCTATTGTTATATCTATTTCTCATGTGAGAATTATTGGAAATTTATTAAGTATTCATACAGATTCATTAGTTTTATTAGATATTTTTTACATTTTTTGATTTGAAATCGACTTTCTGTAATTATAAGAAATACCACATTAATTATAAATTTCGACTTATAATCGAGATTTTAGAAGATTTTACATTATTACAAATTGGGTTTTTAGAACAAAAAGAGAACTAAAGAAACTTCATATTTATTTTAAAACAGTTAATTTTTTAGCAACGTCTTATGGACGTCCCATTGAACTATAGAACTAACTGGAACGAGCGCTGCCTTTGTTATTGTCCGGTGACTTCGAGCCGAGAGAGACGGTATCTATTTGGTATTCCCGTCTCTCTTTTTCTTATTACCTTTGAAGTTCAGGATATTGTAAGGTGGATAAGATTATGTGGATAGAATGGGCAAAATAGATAAAAATATAAAAATCAAACAACCCGATTATCGGGAAATCTACCTAAAAGCTGGTATGAGAGTTTGACATCGGGATCACAAGAGGCATGACAAAAGCAGGAAGAATAGGATTTATCCTAAAGTAAGAAGAAGAAAAGAAAATTTACTTGAACGTTTCATTAGTTAAAAACAACGTTGGATTATCTCCAGCAAAATATATAAAAATATCAATCTCTATATATATAATTCAGACAAAACATCTGGCAACGCACAAAATGAAGCTCTTGAAGCTAAAAATCAAATTCGCTCTTTCGCTTTCAATTTCGCTCTTTGAAGCTAAAAATCAAATTCGTTCTTATTTACCCTCACTCTTATTTTTGATGAACCATTAATAAGATATATAAATTTTTGTAATATTACAAATCCATTGCTTCATTAATAAAAGTCAATCGACCATAATTTTATATTTTTCTGTTTACAAGAAAATATTATACATCTTAATATATAACAAATAAGTAATAAATGTGTATTATAATATATTTCCGTTATCTTTATATCAAATTTTCTTTAGTCACTAATAGTAATTATCTATATTAGTAATACTGTATCATTGCTCTCTTTCTTTCTCTCTCTCATGACATTTCCATATAATAACTTTCCTGTCTTTTCCTCCTGTTATTATCAAGTTATTATCAGCAATCACAGCTAGGGCGCAAAGCGGCCCTGAAAAGAAAATGTGTATATAATATACATATATATTAAAACAATTTATTTCATAAGATAAAGGAAATATAGTTAACAAAAAAGAGAATTAATATACAGGGTGTCCCAAAAACCCCAGACCGGTCGAATATTTCATAAACTATGCACTTTAGAAAGAAATGTTTCAGACAAAAGTTGTATGGCTTGAAGGAGGCCATCAGATAGTGGCAATGATTTGATATGGGAGAGTCATTTGAAAGTCACGTGAAGATCACTGTCAATTTCTTAAATGGAACCCCCTATTTTTTATTACATATTCGTGTAGCTTATCTCGAGAACTTTCCAAAACACTATAATAAAGTATTTCTTCATTGAGTACTTTTCGAGTTATGAGGCTTGAAATCATTTCTTAATTTTACATAAACCGTAAAATATCTTGTAAAATATTCATTTTTTGATTATCTTACCTTTATAATTTTATGTACGAAATAATGAGAGGAATCAATTGGTGTAAAAAAAAACAGTTGTTTTTAAGAAAAAAATATGTAATTCGCAAATAACAATTACATATATATTTTTTTTTAAAACAACTATGTGTTTTCTTTACATCAATTGATTCCTCTCATTATTTTGTACATAAAATTATTAAGATAAGATAATCGAAAAATGAATATTTTACTAGATATTTTATGGTAATTTTATGGTATGGATATTTTACTAGATAGTTTATGCAAAATTAAGAAATGATTTCAAGCCTCATAACTCGAAAAATATTCAATGAAGGAATACTTTATTATAGTGTTTTGGAAAGCTCTCGAGATAAGCTACACGAATATGTAATAAATAATTGGGGGTTCTATTTAAGAAATTGACAGTGATCTTCACGTGACTTTCAAATGACTCTCCCATGTCAAATCATTGCCACTATCTGATGGCCCCCTTCAAGCCATACAACTTTTGTCTGAAACATTTCTTTCTAAAGTGCATAGTTTATGAAATATTCGACCGGTGCGGGACTTTTGGGACACCCTGTATAACATATTATACAAAATTTTCTTACTATAAATAGCAATTTATTAAATCAGTATATATCATTTTATGTAGAATATTTACCATCATGACATTGTATTTGTGAAACAAATACAGCTCCTTGATGATTCCATATATTAAGACTTCCATCGTTATCGCCTATCAATAGAAACATTCCCATCCAGGCTAAAGTCAATGGTTCGCTTTTTAAGCTGATGGAAAATATCTGTGTATTTGTTCGAACGTCGATTATATTCAATACTTTGTCTTCTGCACACGATATTACACTGCTACACTGTTTATCAAACGTTACCGCATTTATCTTGCATATATGGCCTTTTAACAACAAATATTAATAATATATAACATCAACACACACATTATTTTCTTTCACTATCAAAAAGTAATCTCTAATCATAAAAATTAAAAATTCACATTATTTATTCAGTCAGCTAAATCTAGCTGTTCTAATAGATTTTGCCAAATTACAACAAAACCTGTTATATCAAATAATTTTAACAGAATGTTAGTAAAAACGTTACAAATCTGCTAATATAATTTGATAGTAAAACACTAGCAGAAACCGAGCAAAATTGGCACAGAATTATCATAGCAGATTGCAGCAATAGAGCAGGATCTGCGCACACAATCTTTAATAGCAAATTGACGACAGAAATAGGATTGGCATGATTCAATAGTTCCTTCGCTTATATGAGCCACTATATGAGCTGTATTTTCTTGCAATTTAATTTTTGTTAAAAATATATATAAATATATTTTTAAATTGCGAGAAATATATATATTTTTAACAAAATATATATATTTTAAATATTTATATAAAAAGTCATGATTAATAAAAATCAAAAATATAGTAATTATCATTTTAATTTCTATCACTTAATTTCTGATATCTAAAACAAGCAGATGAGATTCAAAATATTAAACTGATTGGAATCAATTTGAAAAATGAGAAATTATTTAATTACTGTCTATTTGAGGCATAAAGCAAGAATTTAATTCTAAATAAATTATATCTTAAGCTTTATAAATGAAATTTACTTTTATCATTTATTTTATTATTAATTTAATTAAATTGAACTAATCCTTCTAAAATATAACTACAATAAAACATATTATATTCAAAATGAATAGAGGAAAACAGGCAATATATTATATTATATGTCATATTAGAAGACAATTGTAATTAACCAATAACTCGCCGATAATATTCTTATTTAATAACTGTAATAAGTAATTTTATTGCATTTATATAACATTAATATAAGTAAACACAAATTTTGTTCGATTTCTGTTGTCAATTTGCAATAAGATTGCACAGATCCTGTTCGGTTTCTATCACTCTGTTGTCAGATTATGTTCTACAGACTCTGTAAAACATAATGACTCTCGTTAGAACATAAGCTTAATGGATACAGATGACTATGGTTCTGATGTGGGATTCTGATCGAATTTGCTGCCAATCTGCTGACATTTTGCTTACCGAATATTTGTTTTATTTATTTACGCAATTAAATATTTAGTTTTGCATTATTGATAAACTCTTTTTTTAAATTGCGTTTTATAAGTTGTAAATATAAGCAAAATGTATGCCTATGAGTGATTGAATGGACAAATTATGCATTTGCATAATTAACTTGTATAATATTTTGCAAGTTTCTCATTATTGCGATTTCTATATTATAACTACTTAACAAATTATGTTTATTGTATATAATATCATACCATACATACATATATATACAGAGTGTCCCAAAAGTCCCGGACCGCTCAAATATTTTATAAACTATGCACTTTAGAAAGAAATGTTTCAGACAAAAGTTGTATGGCTTGAAGGGGGCCATCAGATAGTGGCAATGATTTGACATGGGAGAGTCATTTGAAAGTCACGTGAAGATCACCGTTTCTTAAATGGAGCCCCCTACTTTTTATTACATATTCGTGTAGCTTTTCTCGAGAGCTTTCCAAAACACTATAATAAAGTATTTCTTTATTGAGTACTTTTCGAGTTATGAGGCTTGAAATCATTTCTTAATTTTGCATAAACCATAAAATATCTAGTAAAATATTCATTTTTCGATTATCTTACCTTAATACTTTTATGTACAAAATAATGAGAGGAATCAATTGGTATAAAGAAAACACATAGTTGTTTAAAAAAAAAAAATGTAATTGTTAATTGCAAATTACATATTTTTTTCTTAAAAATAACTATGTTTTTTCTTTACACCAATTGATTCCCTTCATTATTTTGTACATAAAAGTATTAAGGTAAGATAATCGAAAAATGAATATTTTACTAGATATTTTATGGTTTATGCAAAATTAAGAAATGATTTCAAGCCTCATAACTCGAAAAGTACTCAATAAAGAAATACTTTATTATAGTGTTTTGGAAAGCTCTCGAGAAAAGCTACACGAATATGTAATAAAAAAAAATAGGAAGTTCCATTTAAGAAATTGAAGGTGACCTTTACGACACCTTCAAATGACTCTCCAAGTCAAATCATTGCCACTATCTGATGGCCCCCTTTAAGCCATACAACTTTTGTCTGAAATATTTCTTTCTAAAGTGCATAATTTATGAAAGTTTATTCGACTGGTCCGGGACTTTTGGGACACTCTATATATACACATATACAGGATAACTGAAAAAGCGCCCACAGAGCAAGTAGCGTTATTCCTGATTAAAAGTCGAAAAATCCTGAACCATTTTTTTCTATAATGCTTACTAACAAGGGAAGTTCGGCAAGTGTAAAATTCAAAAAAATCTGTAACTTTGCATAAGTTTAGACTAGATGGACCTAATCACGAAGCAATTTTTTTTAGCGGCTGATATTCAGTTTTAAGGGTGGAAACACCCTCTTGAAAAAAATCTGTGTTTACGTTTCTGAGTGAATATCTCCGAAACAATAAGAAATATCGAAAAATGTTTTAAATAAAAGTTTTATGGTTTCAAGAACACTTTACAACGGTGTAATTAGATTTTTTAAAAATGTTAATTTTTTCGAAATATCCCCACCACTTATTTTTTTTTATTTAAATTTTAAATTTTTCTTGCAACTAAATTAAAGTTCCCCAGTAAGCAAAATGTTAGCAGTCTGTCAGCAGCATGCAAGCAGATTCAAACAGAATATTGCGGCAGATTGGCATCAACTGCGTCCGCATTAAGCTTGGGTTCTGCTAGCAGAATCTGTCAGCATAAACCGACAGCAGATTGACAGCAGAAATCGAACAGGATCTGCGCGTGCAATTTGATGTTAGATTGTCCGCAGAAACCGAACAGAATCTGCGGATGCAACCTGATGGCAAATGGACAGCAGAAATTTCACAAGATTTGCACTTTTATTAATATTATATAAATGCAACAAAATTGATTATTACAGGTGCTAAATAACAATATTATCGGCAAGTTAATTAGAATTTTCTGATAGAAAATGACATATATGTAATATGTTATATCATAGTTATATTTCATATAGCGAAGGACTAATTTCAATTCTATTTAATTAAATTAATAATAAAGTAAATGTAACTTGTAAAACTTGAGAGGTAATTTATTTAGAATTAAATTCTTGCTTTATGCCTCAAATAGGCAGTGCATGAATAATTTTCCATATATTATATTGATTCCAATCAGTTTAATATTCTGACTCTCATTTGCTTGTATCAGATATCAGAAATTAAAGTGAAAAATTAAAATGATAATTACTATATTTTTAGTCTTTTATTCATATTCGTGACTTTATATATATTTCTGACAGAAATTCAATTACGAGAAAGTACAGCTCACGTAGCGGTAAGTGAAGGAACTATCGAATCATACAAACCCTGTTCCATTTCTGCCATCAATCTGCTATCAGAGATTGTATGTGCAGATCCTGTTCGATTTTTGCCGACAATCTGGTAACTGATTATGTTAACAAGCTTTGTTATATTTCTGTTGACATTCTGGCGACATCACATGATATATCAGAACCTGCATCGAGTCTGTAATCTTTCTGTCGACAACAATTTCTAACAGATTCCCTGACAAGATCTGCTTTAGCAGACTTGGCTATTGGGGTCATTTCACGCCAAATTCAACCATATATAATAAAGTTATGTTCCGTGAATGCGTCTTTGAGAAATAAGCTAAAAACGACGCCCTTATAGGCATACTCTCAATTTTATCGACTCGCTACTTGGCTACGACAGAGCTTCTCTTTCTCCTATAACTTTCCGCAATACAAAAATATGATAAAACGGATGTTTATAATAAACCTAATCACATTAGTGATTTTTGTATATTACACATGTTATATATAATATATGATTCTCATAATATATGTATACAGGGTGTCAATTAAGTCCCGGGACGGCTGAATATTTTCTCATGTAAGGTATTTTTGAAAAAGGTCAAGGTCATTTCTGAAGTAATTTTCAACGAGGAATTCAACGGTGACCTTCAATTTGACCTTGAGCTTGACCTTCAAGGTTATTTGAAGGTCAAAGTGTTTTTTTTAAATAGGAACCCCTATTTTTGATTGTATATTCTTATAGCTGACCTCGAGAGCTTTCCAAAACACTATAATAAAATATTTTTCCCTCAAGCATTTATCGAGTTATGATGCTTCAAATCATTTCTTAATTTTACATAAACCGTAAAATATCTTGTAAAATATTCACTTTTCGATTATTTTACCTTAATACTTTTATGTACAAAATAATGAGAGGAATCAATTGGCGTAAAGAAAACATATAGTTGTTTTTAAGAAAAAATATGTAATTTGCAATTAACAATTCCATATTTTTTCTTAAAAACAACTGTATGTTTTCTTTAAACCAATTGATTCCTCTCATTATTTTGTACATAAAAGTATTAAGGTAAAATAATCGAAAAGTGAACATTTTACAAGATATTTTACGGTTTATGTAAAATTAAGAAATGATTTGAAGCATCATAACTCGATAAATGCTTGAGGGAAAAATATTTTATTATAGTGTTTTGGAAAGCTCTCGAGGTCAGCTATAAGAATATACAATCAAAAATAGGGGTTCCTATTTAAAAAAAACACTTTGACCTTCAAATAACCTTGAAGGTCAAGCTCAAGGTCAAATTGAAGGTCACCGTTGAATTCCTCGTTGAAAATTACTTCAGAAATGACCTTGACCTTTTTCAAAAATACCTTACATGAGAAAATATTCAGCCGTCCCGGGACTTAATTGACACCCTGTATATCATAATATATATGATATATATGTATATCGCGAGAGGAAAATTAAATTCGTCAAGAAAATAATTACTTATTTAAATCTTTGGTAAAGAAACATTAAAGATTATCGTCTTTGAACAAAATGATACAACGCAACGAAATGAACGGGTGTACTATAACGTATATGTAATATTTTCTGTTTATATAAACATCATTATATTTATGAGTGAAACACGAATGAAAATGAATACACCTAAATATAGTCAAATCTATTTATTTCATGCGTAAATAGATCCAGAAATACAGCAAACGCACATATGTGTATATGTATACATAAAGAAACATTATATGTATAACAGGTATAAAGAAAGAAGAAACTTGTATTATATAGTAGGCTATAATTAATTATATGATCCTAATTACATACTAACTTTCATCTGACCATTTTTGTCAGCTGCTTCGTTTTTAAGATATTCTACTGTTTCTTTTAAAAAATGGAACATTTTATAAGAAGCAATACAGAAATATGACTTACATTACTATTGGTAATATTATTTGTATATAAAACTCTTCGGTATATATGTTTCTGATTGTAAGAGTATTAAAGTCTAAGAGAGTAACAAAATAAGGAAGTTATTGAATCATTGAATGGTTCAAAGGTTGAAAGATTACCGAGATAGGAGCAAAAGATGGAAAGATTATAAGAAGGTTATCTTTAATGTTCATATTTTTTATATTATTAGTTGGTATAAAAGCCATCTCTTTCTGCATTTCATTCATATGTTATTCAACGTGTTGTGCGTGTGATACTTTACGCAAAAATTTTCATATAACCGTTACTCAAGCATTTGTGTCAAAATGGTTATAAATGTAGCAAACGTTATAATTTGTTAATTACAACGTTCCACATTGCAAATCTGGCTGTCACTCCCGTTAATCATCGCGAAGTAGAACTCCACGATGCAATTTCCAGCTTGATAAGAAATTCTATAAACGATTATGTTACAATTGAATACGATTGGGGACTTGATTTTGATGATTCATCGGAACCTCATGATGTACAACTTGTAGATTCGTATGATTTTCATACTGAAGAAGACAGCTACGAAGATGAAATTTGTATTATAGATGACGAAGGTGGAAGTGTAGATTTAAATTATAAAAGAAAAACGGTGGAATATTGGAATAGTGGGAAAAAAAGACGTTTATCCCTTTCTGTTGTACAGAATCGTTTTAAAAAGGTAAATTCTCTTAAGAAATAAGCATAGTACTAACTGCAGATGAATGAATATTATTACTAATAATAAATAGTTGTTTATAATTGATAAAAAACGTTGATAATAAGAGAAGTCAGAAATGACGTTTTTGAGTCGCATGTTTATTTGCACTCGATTCGCATTAATTTTGGTTATGTTTAATATAATTTTTTTTAATATTTAAATATTGGATTTTTTTTATAGGTAAAACACATTTCGCAATTGTACCGATGGCAAGAGTATGTAATGCGTGGAGGAACAAACAGAGACAAATTGATATTTATTGCTGAATATGTACTGATAAAATTTCAAGAAGCTATTGAGAGAGGATCTATCATTCATGATATAGATTTACGAAGGTGAGCGCTAGAAGCAAAAGAGCAAGTTGATTTTACTACGTTTAGAGCAGGACATTGGTGGATATGGAATTTTAAAAAGGTTCATCACATTACATCACGTAAAATAACAAAATTTAAATCGCAATCTAATTCACAATCTGATATACTGATACGTCAAAATGCAGAAGAATTTGTGAAAACTGTAAAACCACATATTGATGTAATTGGTGAAGGATCAACTTATAATGCAGATGAAAGCGGATTTAATCTAGAAATACATTCTGGAAGAACATTAGCTAATATGGGAGCAAAAACAATCGAAGCTACTATTCAATCTTTATCTTCTATAAGTCACAGTTATACTATTATGCCAATTATATCTGCGGATGGATCTCTTCTTTCGCCTTTATATATAGTCTTGAAAGAAATTACTGGATCATTTGGTCCACGAGTAGAAGAAACCCTTTTTCGACCTGTTAATGTTTACATTGCGGCTTCAAAATCCGGAAAACTTACAACTCAACACTTTAAAATTTGGTTTTTAGAAGTATATCTTCCAAATACTAAAGAGAAAAGTTTGCTATTGTTAGATTCATGGACAGGCCATTGTCCAGAACAATTAATAGAACATATACCAAAAGACAAACAAGTAACTATTTTAACAATACCAAAGAAAACAACTGCTTTTGTACAACCTTTAGATGTTTTTGGCTTCAGAATCTGGAAAAATTTTATTCGAAGCTTTTCTGATAATGTTATTTTACATAATTACGATGTAAATTTACATTTACGCAATAACATCATAAAATTACAGTCTTTGACACATAATCAACTTTCTTCTCCAAGATTTAAAAATTTATTTAAATATAGTTGGTACAAAAGTGGTTATTTATCAACAAGGCCGGAAAAGTTTGAGAATCCAATCAATTATTGTTATTTTAAAGAAGAAAAGAATATACCAAAATGCAGCATTTGTGGTAAAATGGCTTTTATACGTTGTGCGTGGTGCAAAAATTATTTTTGTTTTGACCATTTCTTTGAACAATATCATTATTGTAACAATTATATAAAATAAATATCTTATTTCTGTTAAAATAAAACCGAAAAGAAACTGTTCATAAAAATACCGGTTTTATATACAAATAATAATACTAACAATAATAATACTAACAAATAATAATACTAACAACAAAGAGTTTTATATACAAATAATAATACTAACAATAATGTAAGTCATATTTTTGTATTGCTTCTTACAAGATGTTTCATTTTAATAGAAACAGTAGAATATCTTAAAAACGAAACAACTGACAAAAATGGTCAGATGAAAATTAATTAATTAATTATAACCTCTTATATAATACGTGTTTTTTTTATATGTATACATATACACATATGTGCGTTTGCTGTATTTCTGGATCTATTTACGCATGAAATAAATAGATTTGACTATATTTAGGTGTATTCATTTTCATTCGTGTTTCACTCATAAATATAATGATGTTTATATAAATAGAAAATATTACATATATGTTATAGTACACCTGTTTATTTCGTTGCGTTGTATCATTCTAGACGATAATCTTTAATGTTTCTTTACCAAAGATTTAAATAAGTAATTATTTTCTTGACGAATTTAATTTTCCTCTCGCGATATACATATATATCATATGTATTATGATATATACATATATTATGATAACTATATTATATATAACATGTGTAATATACAAAAATCACTAACGTGATTAGGTTTATTATAAACATCCGTTTTATCATATTTTTGTATTGCGGAAAGTTATAGGAGAAAGAGAAGCTCTGTCGTAGCCAAGTAGCGAGTCGATAAAATTGAGAGTATGCCTATAAGGGCGTCGTTTTTAGCTTATTTCTCAAAGACGCATTCACGGAACATAACTTTATTATATATGGTTGAATTTGGCGTGAAATGAACTTTAATTTAGTTGCAAGAAAAATTTAAAATTTAAATAAAAAAAATAAGTGGTGGGGATATTTCGAAAAAATTAACATTTTTTAAAAATCTAATTACACCGTTGTAAAATGCTCTTGAAACCATAAAACTTTTATTTAAAACATTTTTCGATATTTCTTATTGTTTCGGAGATATTCACTCAGAAACGTAAACACAGATTTTTTTCAAGAGGGTGTTTCTACCCTTAAAACCGAATATCAGCCGCTAAAAAAAATTGCTTCGTGATTAGGTCCATCTAGTCTAAACTTATGCAAAGTTACAGATTTTTTTGAATTTTAAACTTGCTGAACTTCCCTTGTAAAGCGTAATTATTGAGTAAACTTGCGCCAATAAGCACCGACTTTTAGACGGGCGCACGTCAGTGACCCGCCCGCCTTGTAGTGTGCGTGAGCGCTCCGTTTCAACGCTATGTTATGCCACTATCGTGCAATATTCTTATGCGTTGTAATAATGTGAAAAACTTTAATTTGCATTAAAAATCATATTTCTTCCGTCAAAAGCATTTTCTTAAAAAAAATTTCGACAAGGAGGCTAAAGATTAGTGCTTATTGGCGCAACTTTACTCAATAATTACCGCTTTATTAAGCATTATAGAAAAAAATAGTTCAGGGTTTTTCGACTCGATTTTTAATCAGGAAAAACACTATTTGCTTAATGGGAGCTTTTTAAGATAAACCCTGTATGTGTGTATATATATATATATATATATATATATATATATATATATATACAGGGTGTCCCATTTTAATGCCCCACCCCAAATAACTTTCTTATTTTTAATTTTAGAAAAAGATGTTTCAGACAAAAGTTGTATGGTTTCGAGGGGGACATAAGATGGTACCATTAATTTGATCTTGAAGAGTCACATGAAGGTTACGTGAAGATCATTTTCAATTTCTTAAATGGAACACCCTATATATTTTTGCATATTCTTGTAGCTTATCTCGAGAGCTTTCCAAAACACTATAAATAAACATTTTTTCATCAAGTACGTTTCGAGTAATGAGGCTTGAAATCATTTCTTAATTTTACATAAACCATAAAATATCTTGTAAAATATTCATTTTTTGATTATCTTACCTTAATACTTTTATGTACAAAATAATGAGAGAAATCCATTGGTGCAAAGAAAACATACAGTTGTTTTTAAGAAAAAAATATGTAATTTGCAATTAACAATTCCATATTTTTTCTTAAAAACAACTGTATGTTTTCTTTACACCAATTGATTTCTCTCATTATTTTGTACATAAAAGTATTAAGGTAAGATAATCAAAAAATGAATATTTTACAAGATATTTTATGGTTTATGTAAAATTAAGAAATGATTTCAAGCCTCATTACTCGAAACGTACTTGATGAAAAAATGTTTATTTATAGTGTTTTGGAAAGCTCTCGAGATAAGCTACAAGAATATGCAAAAATATATAGGGTGTTCCATTTAAGAAATTGAAAATGATCTTCACGTAACCTTCATGTGACTCTTCAAGATCAAATTAATGGTACCATCTTATGTCCCCCTCGAAATCATACAACTTTTGTCTGAAACATCTTTTTCTAAAATTAAAAATAAGAAAGTTATTTGGGGTGGGGCATTAAAATGGGACACCCTGTATATATATATATATATATATATATATATATATATATATATACAGGGTCTACCAAAAGTGTGGAAACCCCTAAATATCTCGGAAAATATAAGTTTTACAGAAAAGTGTTTCCAACAAAAGTTGTAGGGTTTAAGAAGATCTATATACTGATTCTATCAGTTTGACCTTGGATGACGTCGTCAAGGTCAGGTCAAGGTCACATTGACTTTTTTAAATGACACCCCCTACATTTGATTGCATATTCTTATAGCTTAATTCAAGAGCTTTCCAAAACACTATAATAATGTTCATTTTTATTAAGTACTTTGCGAGTTATGAGGGTTGAATGATAGAGTAGCGCCGGTATTAACATTATCCAAGGTGTACTACATGGAGGTTACTCGCTCGGATTTGCATCTGTTGTGTGTGTGATCCAGCTAACTAAGGCAAGATCGGTCGTGGATCCAGTCAGCAAAAGCAAAGACCCAACCAAATTACAATCGAGCATTTAAAGACCTGGAAAGCAATCGACATAGTAAACAGTAAATAAATTTGTGGATGCTCATTTATCATAATAATTGTTCGAAATGTGTGCGTGTGCGTGCGTGCGGTGCGTGTATACAGAGATCAGGTTAGGTTGCACCAAACGATTGCAAATGTGTTTCAATGTGTTAAAGTAAATGCTGAAAGTGGCTGCCATTTACTTCCTGACAATATGCTAATCTTTGGTAGAATGTAGAAATGACTTTACGATTCGTTTCAAAAGGTATCAAAGCCATTTCATCCCTTATTCGCTGTATCAATTCGTGAATGGTTTTAGGTTTTGTTCTGTAAACCTTACTCTTCAGATATCCCCATAGATAATAATCAAGAGGAGTTAGATCTGGTGATCGAGATGGCCAATCCTCTCCTCCCTCATTTCCGTTCCTTCTTCCTATCCACCGTAGCGGAAAAGTCTCATTTAAAATACGACGTGGTCCTGCACCAAAATGAGCAGGAGCTCCATCATGCTGAAATCATATTTCTTGGAAATTATTTGGAAAAGTATTCTGTATGGCTAGAATTATTTGATCAACAAGTAATCTCTCATACCTTTGAGCGTTCAAATATTCTTCAAAAAAAAACGGCCCTATTAAATAGCCATCTATTATTCCGCACCATACATTTATTTTTTGTGGATGTTGTGTGTGAGTTTCCCGCACCCAATTCGGATTCTCATCTGACCAGAAACGAAAATTTTGATTATTAACTTCTCCCGTTAAGGTAAAAGTTGCCTCGTCTGTGAAAACAATTTGATAAGGGAAGATGGACCGGACATCTATTAGTGCCATCATTCTTTCACAGAAATGTATACGACGCTCCTCATCTCCGTTTTGCAATTCTTGAACGTATTGCAATTTATATGGATGGAACTTGTTCTTCTTTAAAATTCTTCAAACCGACATGGGAGCAATATCGTGAGTTTGAGCGACTCTCTGAACACTAGAATTGGGATCTTCAATAAATGTCTGCAGAACATCAAGTTGTTTTTCTTCGTTGGTTGCAGACAATGGTCTTCCTGACTTAGAGCGATTTCTTACGCTACCAGTTTGTCTAAAACGTTCTATTGTTTTTAACACAGTGGACTTATTAATTCGACGGTTCGGATACGTGTCATTAAATAATCGAACGACATCAGAGAACGATCTTTCGTTATCACCCCATCCACGCATCATGAGGATAGTGATTCTTTCACGTTCCGACAAGTCGCCAGCCATTTTTAAAACGTTTAATTTTAATTAATCGTACGTTGTATTTGGACGATAACAATTAATTTCTGCTTGCTCAAAGCTGAAGTTAGAAGGTGCTCGTTCTTTGATAGCTTTATACATTCTTAGTTGAATTTTAAATGCGAGTTAGACTGCATGTAGTGCGTCACATAGCGGTAAATGAAGGAACTAACGAGACGTTTCATACACGTTTTATGGAGCAATTTTTTGGCAATTTGACTTCAGCGAAATATGAGGATATGTTGAGGAATCGATCTTGCCTTAGTTAGCTGGATCACACACACAACAGATGCAAATCCGAGCGAGTAACCTCCATGTAGTACACCTTGGATAATGTTAATACCGGCGCTACTCTATCATTCAACCCTCATAACTCGCAAAGTACTTAATAAAAATGAACATTATTATAGTGTTTTGGAAAGCTCTTGAATTAAGCTATAAGAATATGCAATCAAATGTAGGGGGTGTCATTTAAAAAAGTCAATGTGACCTTGACCTGACCTTGACGACGCCATCCAAGGTCAAACTGATAGAATCAGTATATAGATCTTCTTAAACCCTACAACTTTTGTTGGAAACACTTTTCTGTAAAACGTATATTTTCCGAGATATTTAGGGGTTTCCACACTTTTGGTAGACCCTGTATATATATATATATATATATATATATATATATATATATATATATATAGGGTAGACCAAAAGTTTGGATACAATCGAATATCTCATATAGAATGCATTTTAGAACAAAATGCTTTAGACAAAAATTGCAAGGATTAAAAAGATGTATTTAACTATAATATCCATTTGACATTGAATGACGTCGCCAAGGTCAGGGCAAGGTGAACTTGAATTTTTTAAATGGAACCCCCTATTTTTCATTGCATATTCTTGTAGCTTACCTCGAGAGCTTTCCAAGACACTATAATAAAATATTTCTTCATTGAATACTTTTCGAGTTACGAGGCTTGAAGTAATTTTTCAATTTTATATAAACCATATAAATTTTATATAAATATTTTATAAAATATCTAGTAAAATATTCATTTTTTGATTATCTTGCTTTAATATTTTTGCAAAATAATGAAAGGAATCAATTGGTATAAAGAAAACACATAATTGATAAAGAATTCGGCTCTATGTAATTAATAACACGATACTTAAGAAACGAGCAAATAAAGAGCCAAACGCGGATGGTAGTGCGTAAATTTCTTAAACATTAATTGTTCGCGAAAATTTCGGCAAGCGAAAGACTCGGGTTCGATTCCCGATTCAGCGATTTCGCCCCGATATTTTTCTTGTCTACATCTCTTCAGGGGGGGGGGGGGGGAAGAGGGTTTTATAGAATTCTCAAAAATGAGAATCTATATCTTGGTATATACATCAAGTAAAATATTTGTATATATGCCTTCTGCACGTAAAAAAAAACAAAAAAAAATTCACGAACAATTAATGTTTAAGAAATTTACCATCCGCGTTTGGCTCTTATTTGCTCGTTTCTTAAGTATAGTGTTATTAAAACACACAATTGTTTCAAAGAAAAAATATGTAATTGTTAATTGCAAATTACATATTTCTAAATAGTTAAATAAATCCTTTTAATCCTTACAACTTTTGTCTAAAATGCATTTTAAAACATTTTGTTCTAAAATGCATTTTATACGAAATATTCGAGTATCCAGACTTTTGGTTCACCCTGTATATACATATACAGATCTGAAATGATGCACTAAACTTTAGGAGCGTATTCTAGAAGTCAAAATAAGACTTTTTTTTCTTATGAACATGGGTCCGCAAATGAACCCCTCTCCGAGCTAAAATTCAAGAAAGTATGAAATTGACCAAACATCTGCAACGGAAATTTATTTATCTCTCAAGAGAAGGTGATAGATAACGTCAAAATCAAGATCAAATAATAAAGCAATCCATAAATTTTTTTCTGAAATACAGCTAATTTTCAATTTTTTCCCCAAACTTTAGAAACCTCTAGCTTGAAGAAAGGTTCATTTGTGGACCCATATTCGTAGGAAGAAAAAGTCTTATTTTGATCTCTAGAATACGCTCCTAAAGTTTAGTGCATCATTTCAGATACACCCTGTATATATACAATTAACAATTACGTATTTAAAAAAAAAAACAACTATGTTTTTTCTTTATTTAATTTAAAGTCACCTAGGTGACTTTTAAGTGATAAATAAAATCATGATAACGTCATAATAATGTCATTATGAGTTTCATGTTCTATCTGGGTATAGTTTATGTAAAATTAAGAGATTATTTCAAGCCTCATAATTCAAAAAGTACTTAATGGAAAAATACTTCATTATAGTGTTTTGAAAAGCTCTCGAGAAGTTACGAGAATATGGAAAAAAATAGTGTTCCATTTAAAAAATTCAAAGTGACCTTGATAACGTCACTCAAGGTCAAATCAATGGTACCTTATATCTCCCTTTAAGCCGTACAATTCATGTCTGAAACTTTTTCGACGATTTTTAACGCTGTGTTTCTGAAATATTTGAGTGGATCCTTTAAAATGGGACACTCTGTATGTGTACATGTACATATATAGAGTGTTTGTTGTAACGAGTGCCAAAAAAAAAAACACAAGTAGATCTCGCTAAACTGAACTAAAAATCTTATACTATTTTGCAGACAATCACGTAAAATTTCGAGATATTAAAAAAGATCAGCCAATCCGTACAAGCAACGAGTAGGGAGAGAGTGTGGAAAAATTCTCCAAATATGATGGTAAAACCTGTTCCACTTATCGCTTCGTCGCGCGCGTAGAGTCAGATTATAATGGGCGTAGGTCTCATCGCTGCGCGCTTATACTCGCACGAATTGTGACCAATCTTTTTTAATTAATATCTCAAAATTTCATGTGATTGTTTACATAATGATATGGGACTTTTTAATTCGATTTAACCAGATCTTATGGTTTTTCTTTGGCACTCGTTAGCTCATATACCCTGTATGTATGTACACAAGTCAAAGAAATATATGATATAAAAGAAATATATATAAAAAGATAAAAAGATATATTTACCTTTAATAGTAGCTTGTAAATTGTAACTATCCATGTTCCACAAATATAACTCGCCGTCTTCTGTACCAGATACCAACATAGTATCATCTCTGCAATAGCATGAAACAATTTATTCAATTTATAAACGTATAACAAGATGCAGAAACTGAATAGAAAAATAAAAACAAACACACACACACACACACACACACACACACACAGAAAAAGTGATACAGTAGAATAGACAAAAATTGTGAAATTTTAAATGCTTATAACAGCTGATAATAATATTGAGATGCTTCAAAAACTAAAATGATATTTGATAAAAATTTAATGTTGTATGATTATGAGGGATGAATCTAATTTTTCATAGCGGATAGTGAGAACTTAAAAAATTAATTAATAAAAAGTTCAATTTTTTGAATTGCAGAATGAATCAGTTGATGCTCAATGGGATAAAAAAAAATCAAATTCTTCCTTTTAAAATGCGCTCTTACAAAATTCGAAACGATCATTTTCGCGGAATTATATCAATCTGAAAAAAGATTTTATATGGCGGTAAATTGTGATTTAAAATATGTCTCCCATTATCAATTCGCCGCTGTAATTTTAATCAAGCTATATCACATTGATATTACATCTATGCATGCATGCGTGCATGCAATATACCATACACACACGCACACACACACACACACATACAGAGTGTCCCAAAAGTCCCGGACCGGTCGAATATTTCATAAACTATGCACTTTAGAAAGAAATGTTTCAGACAAAAGTTGTATAGCTCGAAGGGGGCCATCAGATAGTGGCAATGATTTGACCTTGGAGAGTCATTTGAAGGTGACGTAAAGGTCACCTTCAATTTCTTAAATGGAACCCGCTATTTTTTATTACATATTCGTGTAGCTTATCTCGAGAGCTTTCCAAAACACTATAATAAAGTATTTCTTCATTGAGTACTTTTCGAGTTATGAGGCTTGAAATCATTTCTTAATTTTGTGTAAACCATAAAATATCTAGTAAGATATTCATTTTTCGATTATCTTACCTTAATACTTTTATGTACAAAATAATGAGAGGAATCAATTGGTGTAAAGAAAACACATAGTTGTTTCAAAAAAGAAATGTAATTGTTAATTGCAAATTACATATTTTTTCTTAGAAACAACTATGTGATCTTTACGTGACTTTCAAATGACTCTCCCATATCAAATCATTGGCACTATCTGATGGCACGATCTGCCCCCCTTTAAGCCATACAACTTTTGTTTGAAACATTTCTTTCTAAAGTGCATAGTTTTTGAAATATTCGACCGGTCCAGGACTTTTGGGACACTCTGTGTATATATATAAACGACAGAGATGAAGACTTTATAATAATACATCATATCTACAATATTTATTGACTCCAAATTCTCCCTGATATCTATTTGTATCTTAATAATGTATGTTAATATTGTACTTTTGCAGTCCTGAATTACCTCTTCTATACGTGGAAGCATACTTGTGATTAGGACTCTTATTTTTTTTTTCAGTCTATCCCTAAGTAGAACATGAAACTCATAATGACATCATTATGACGTCATCATGATTTTATTTATCTAAAAGTTACCTAAACAAAAATGATTAAAAAATGAGTTAAAGATGACAAAAAGAATCATAAATTTTTAAGTTTAATAATCGCATTATATAATTTTAAAAAGATTATGTTGCTTAAATATAATTAAAATATACATGAATAATAAACAAGTAATTAGAATAAATAGTAATTAGAATAAATAGTAATTAGAATAAATAAACAAGTAATTACGTAACATATATAAAAAATGATATTATTATGATTGATTCTTAAGATTTCATATACAAAGTATATACGAAGTACATACGAAGTACATAATATATTCTCCAATAAAGTTCGCTAGAATTGTTTAATATCAAAAATAAGTCAAAACATTGCCAAAAGTATATCAAATGAGATCATTATGATAACATTATTTTTCTAAAATGTCTTTTAGGTGACTTTTAGGTGACTTTTAGGACTTTAATGATGTCAATATGAGATTCATGTTCTACCTGGGACTCTTTGACAAATTCATGAAAAAGGAATCATTCATGGTATAATATTAAAATTTTCTCAAAATACAAATTTTAAGCTTTATTTTCGTTTTCATCACTTCTATATCATAATTAGCTGCGTTAAAAGCATTTAAAGTTTCCAATTTTTTCTATTATTCTACTATAACTGTGTGTGTGTGCTCGCGCGCGTATATGTGTGATATAATTGTATGCAGGGTGCGTCATTTTAAGTTACTCACCCCAATAAAACTTTCGTATTTTTGAATGTAAAAACAAATGTTGCAAACAAAAGTTGTATGACTTTAATGTGACCTTCAATTCTCCACAGCCAAACTAACGGCATCATCTTATGTTCTCCTTTGAGTCAAACAATTTTTGTCTGAAACATTGTTTCTACAATCAAAAATAAGAATGTCATTGGAATAGGTAACTTAAAATGACACACCCTGTATATACAGGGTGTCCCAAAAGTCCCGGACCGGTCGAATATTTCATAAACTATGCACTGTAAAAAGAAATGTTTCAGACAAAAGTTGTATGGCTTGAAGAGGGCCATTAAATAGTGGCAATGATTTGACCTTGGAGAGTCATTTGAAGGTGACGTAAAGGTCACCTTCAATTTCTTAAATGGTACCCCCTATTTTTTATTACATATTCGTGTAGCTTATCTTTAGAGCTTTCCAAAACACTATAATAAAGTATTTTTCCATTGAGTACTTTTCGAGTTATGAGACTTGAAATCATTTCTTAATTTTGCATAAACCATAAAATATCTAGTAAAATATTCATTTTTCGATTATCTTATCTTAATATTTTTATGTACAAAATAATGAGAGGAATCAATTGGTGTAAAGAAAACACATAGTTGTTAAAAAAAAAATATGTAATTGTTAATTGCAAATTACATATTTTTTTCTTAAAAACAACTATGTTTTTTCTTTACACCAATTGATTCCTCTCATTATTTTGTACATAAAAGTATTGGAGTAAAATAATCGAAAAATGAATATTTTACGATTTATGTAAAATTAAGAAATGATTTCAAGCCTCATAATTCGGAAAGTACTTAATGAAAATTAACTTAATTATAGTGTTTTGGAAAGCTCTCGACGTGAGCTACCGTGAGAATATTTAATAAAAAATAGGGAGTTCTATTTAAGAAATTGACGGTGATCTTGACGTGACTTTCAAATGACTCTCCCATGTCAAATCATTGCCTATCTGATGGCCCCCTTCAAGCCATACAACTTTTGTCTGAAACATTTCTTTCTAAAGTGCATAGTTTATGATATATTCGACCGGTCCGGGACTTTTGGGACACCCTATATATATCCAGTCAATTATATCTGTTGCAACAGATTTTGCCCAGTGCCTGCTACAAATCGTCAGCAGAAAAACTAAAGATTGTATGCAAAACCTGTCACATTAGATAATGATAACAGAATGTTAGTAAAAATGTTACAAAATCTGTTGACATAATTTGATAGTAGGATACTAGCAGAAACCGAACAGGATTGGCACAGAATTATCATAGCAGATTGGCAACAGAAATAGAGTAGGATCTGCGCTATGCCATTTGATGTCAGATTGCCGATAAAAACCGAGGATTTGCGCATACAATCTCTGGTAGATTGATGGCAGAAATAGAACAAGGTTTACATAATTTGATAGTTCCTTGCTTATCGCTATGTGAGCTGTACTTTTTCGTAATTTAACTTCTATTAAAAATATATATAAAGTCGCGATTATTAATAAAAAATCAAAAATATAGTAACTATTATTTTAATTTCTTTCATTTTAATTTCTGATTTCTGATACAAGCAGATGAGATTCAAAATATTAAACTGGAATCAATTTGAAAAATGAGAAATTATTTAATTACTGTCTACTTGAGGCATAAAGCAAGAATTTAATTCTAAATAAATTATATCTTAAGTTTTATAAGTGAAATTTACTTTTATCTAAATAAATTGGTATATAATTCGGCTCTATGTATTTTAAACAACATAATAATTTAGTATCGAGCACTAAGAGCCCATAAACGCGGATGGCAATGCGTAAATTTTTACGAACATTAATTGTTCGCGAAAAAATTTTTTTCGCCCCGATATTTTTCCTGTCTACATCTCTCCAGGGTGGTAAAAAGGGTTGTTATAGAAGTCTCAAACCAAGAGAATCTATAACCTGGCATATGTGCATATGTCTTATAAAATTTTTTCGCGAACAATTAATGTTCGTAAAAATTTACGCATTGCCATCCGCGTTTATGGGCTCTTAGTGCTCGATACTAAATTATTATGTTGTTTACTTTTATCATTTACTTTATTATTAATTTAATTAAATTGAATATTTTTCGTCACATGAGATGTACTGAACTATGACGAAACATATATAGGGTATGTATCAGACCACCCGTGCCAGCCGAATATCTCAAAAACCGAGAACGGCAGACAAAAATGTTTCCTACAAAAGTTGTAAAATTAAGAAATGAGTTCAAGCCTTATAACTCGAAAAGTACTTCATGAAAAAACAATTTATTATAGTGCTTTGGAAAGCTCTCGAAGTAAGCTACAAGGATATGTAATGAAAAATGAGGTATTCCATTTAAGAAATTGATGGTGACCTTGATAACGCTATTCAAGGTCATACTAATATTATTATGTAATGCGTTACTCGAAACCCTACAACTTTTATAGGAAACATTTTTGTTTGCCGTTCTCGGTTTTTGAGATATTCGGCTGGCACGGGTGGTCTGATACACCCTGTATTATATTACATATGTCATATTAGAAAAAAATTGAAATTAACCGATAACTTGCTAATAATATTCTTCTACTCTTATTTAGCATCTGTATGTAATTAATTTTATTGCATTTATATAACATTAATATAAGTAAGCTAATCTTGTTCGGTTTCTGCTGTCAATTTGCCATCAGATTGCGTGCACAGATTCTACTTGGTTCTGTCTAACATCAAATTGCATTGCGCAGATTCTGCCGACATCTGTTGTTAGATTATGTTTTACAGACTCTGACGCCAGAACACAAGCTTAATGCGGATACAGCTGGCTATGATTCTGGTGTAGGATTCTGATCGAATCTGTCGAAAGCTGTCAATTTGCTGCCAATTTACCGACATTTTGCTTACTGGATACGTATATTAGTAGAAATTCAAACTTTATTTAGAAATGTAGAAAAGTGTAGAAATTACTTTTAGTATTATCATATTTAGTAATGTAGAAAAATGTAAATATACAGGGTGTTCGGAAATTCAACTGACAAATTTTCGGGTCAAAATCACCCTAATTTTTTTAAATAAAATCCCCTATTTTTGTAACATATTTTATAGCCCTTTTCAAGACTTTTTATTCACTTTATTTCATCCACTTTAAATAAGCCGTTTCGAAGTTATTAAGTTTTTCCTGGTATTGGTCGACGACTATAACTCGTTTATACAAAAATCATGGGGGACGATATCTTTGAGCACCTATTCTGAGATACCGAGATACCTTCTTGCATGCTCATACAGGATCTTTATTGGCTGGATCAATCATCGATTTAAAAAATTCAAGATAATCTTGATCTGGCCTTGGCGACATCATTCAAGGTTAAACTCATCAAGGTTAAACTCAAGGCTAGTAAATGAATTTTTTTACATCATACAACTTTTGTCTGAAATAATTTTTTATAAAACTTATATTTTTTGAGATATTTTGAGGTCCCAATCTTTTTCGAACATCCCGTATGCCGTAGCGACACATTTCCGACCCTAGATACATTTGCAAAACATAATTCTAATGATGCCCTTGACAATCTCTAAAAATTTGTCAGTTGAATTTCCGAATACTCTTTATATTAGTTTCCTCTTTTATTATCCTATGATATTATAAGCAACAATTTACCTCGATATATTAATACAAGTTACTTTGGAATCATGATCTAATTGTGCGATAAAGCACTCTACGGGTTTAATTTTCGATCCTGAGGTATATTCGTGCCAAACTTTTGCAGTACAATCCCACGATCCAGATATAATCACTTGATGCGTAGGACTCCAAGCCAAACATGAGACTGCATCTTCATGTCCTTGAAGAACATCAATTACCCTGCCAAACTCGATATCGTAAAATATTCTGAAAAAAAACCAATCATTAAAGTTTCCTAGAATATAAGGAAGCTTTTATATGTACAATTATATAGAAAATATGTGTCTCTAAACTCATATGTTACAAAATTTACAAAACGTATTGTACATATTTATGAAAATTCAAAGACAGAATCTATATAAAGCTATATTTATATAATTGTGCAATAAATTTGATGATTATTGTGACATTTACAAGGTATTGTCCCACGATCCTACTACAAGAATGTTACGTTGTGACACTGTATAATATGAGATGCAAGATGATAATGACAATAAAGATAAAGAAACGCTATGTGTCAATTTTCTCTCGTTTGCATTGTACAATTTAAGCATTCCATCCTGTCCTACTGATATGATTTCATTGCTTGTTGTATTTTTTGGTATAATATTAGTAACACAGTCTTTGTGCGCTTGAAATGCTATCGATTCTACAAAATTAACTGATTTTTCTTTTCCATATGCATTTTCTGAAAAAAAAAATTGAAACTAATATTTAATATAAATCATATATATATATATATATATATATATATATATATATATATATATATATATATACAGGGTGAGGCATCTAAAACAGGCCACCTGAATAACTCCGTTGGTAAGCCGAATATAAAAAAATTGTTCAGACAAAAGTTGTATGGTTTCAAGGGGGACATATGATGGTGTCATTAGTTTAATCTTGAAGAGCCACCTGAAGGTCACGTGAAGGTCAGCTCCAACTTTTTAAATGGGACACCCTATATGCTTTCGCATATTCTTGTAGCTCATCTGAAGAGCTTTCCAAAACACTATAATTAAGTTAGTTTTCATTAAATACTTTCTAAGTTATGAGGCTTGAAATCATTTTTTAATTTTACATAAACCGTAAAATATCTTGTAAAATATTCATTTTTCGATTATTTTACCTTAATACTTTTATGTACAAAATAATGAGAGGAATCAATTGGTGTAAAGAAAACATACAGTTGTTTTTAAGAAAAAATATGGAATTGTTAATTGCAAATTACATATTTTTTCTTAGAAACAACTATGTGTTTTCTTTACACCAATTGATTCCTCTCATTATTTTGTACATAAAAGTATGAAGGTAAGATAATCGAAAAATGAATGGTTTACTAGATATTTTACGGTTTATGTAAAATTAAAAAATGATTTCAAGCCTCATAACTTGGAAAGTGTTTAATGAAAACTAACTTAATTATAGTGTTTTGGAAAGCTCTTGAGATGAGCTACAAGAATATGCAAAAGCATATAGGGTGTCCCATTTAAAAAGTTGGAGCTGACCTTCGCGTGTCCTTCAGGTGGCTCTTCAAGATCAAACTAATGACACCATCTTATGTCCCCCTTGAAACCATACAACTTTTGTCTAAAACATTTTGTTGTATCTCACCAACATTCCGAGATATTTTCCATTATAGATTAAAATGGTTCACCCTGTATATATCCAGCAAACAGAATATTGCAGTAATATTGCAGCAATATTACAACATTGCAGCAATGTTCTGTGTTTGTTGGGTATATACAGGGTGGCCCCGAACGTTCCAGCCAGACTTTGAGTTTATATAGAAAATTTAATTCTGGACAAAAAACTTCCTATAAACATGGGTCGAAAAATGCTTCCTTAAGAAGTTATCGCTCAAAAACCTCTGATGAAGGAAGAGTAAAAAGTGAAAAGAAAATGAAATAAAAAGAAATTGAAACTAAATAAATTTCTTGAAAAACGTCTTTATTCATTTTCTACTATTACGTGCTATTACTAAAATATTAATTTAAAAAAAAATTATTTTATTTTCATAAAAGAAAAAGATTTTTATTTTTTATTTTTATCGTTTTTTTCAAGAAATTTATTTAGTTTCATTTTCTTTTTATTTCATTTTCTTTTCACCTTTTGCTCTTCCTTCATTAGAGGTTTTTGAGCGATAACTTCTTAAGGAAGCATTTTTCGATCCATTTATAGGCAATTTTTTGTTCAGAATTAAATTTTCTATAAGATCTCAAAGTCTGGCTGGAACGTTCGGGGCCATCCTGTATACAGGGAGTCCCAAAAGTCCCGGACCGGTCGAATATTTCATAAACTATGCACTTCAGAAAAGAAATGTTTCAGACAAAAGTTGTATGGCTTGAAGGGGGCCATCAGATAGTGGCAATGATTTGATCTTGGAGAGTCATTTGAAGGTGACGTAAAGATCACCTTCAATTTCTTAAATGGAACCCCCTATTTTTTTATTACATATTCGTGTAGCTTATCTCGAGAGCTTTCCAAAACACTATAATTAAGTTAGTTTTCATTAAGTACTTTCCGAATTATGAGGTTTGAAATCATTTCTTAATTTTACATAAACCGTAAAATATCTTGTAAAATATTCATTTTTCGATTATCTTACCTTATAATACTTTTATGTACAAAATAATGAGAGGAACCAATTGGTGTAAAGAAAAAACATAGTTGTTTTTAAGAAAAAAATATGTAATTTGCAATTAACAATTACATTTTTTTTTAAAAACAACTATGTGTTTTCTTTACACCAATTAATTCCTCTCATTATTTTGTACGTAAAAATATTAAGGTAAGATAATCGAAAAATGAATATTTTACTAGATATTTTATGGTTTATGCAAAATTAAGAAATGATTTCAAGCCTCATAACTCGAAAAGTACTCAATGAAAAAATACTTTGTTTTAGTGTTTTGGAAAGCTCTCGAGATAAGCTACACGAATATGTAATAAGAAATAGGAGGTTCCATTTAAGAAATTGAAGATGACCTTTACGTCACCTTCAAATGACTCTCGAAGGTCAAATCATTGCCACTATCTGATGGCCCCCTTCAAGCTATACAACTTTTGTCCGAAACATTTCTTTCTGAAGTGCATAGTTTATGAAATATTCGACCGGTCCGGGACTTTTGGGACACCCTGTATATAATGTGTATGTGTAAAAGAGAAATATATAAGACACAATACCTGAAGCCAATGTTTCTGGCAAAGTCAATAATGTTTTACCATGTAATAAGTTTGAAGCTGATGCTAAACGTTTAGGATGTGGTAAAGTAAAAACTTGCTTTGGTATTTGACCAAACTCCATAATTTGCACTTCGAGTCCATGTCTATCATTTATATCTCGTACGGTGTCTAAATCTATTGCTCCTTCATAGCATAAATGGAAGAATACTGCAATTAAAGCAAATATCTTTTATAAGAAATCCGCCGCTTTCTGTTTCTGTTTATACAGGATGTCCCAGACCATTCGTACACCCATTTTAAAATGAAAATAAATGGTTTTTATCAAAAATCGCGAACAATTTTTAAATCGAGTACGCTCTATCAAATGGTGATATTTTCAACTTTTGATTCCGACCGGAAATACGCCATCCAGATCGGAAGTTGAATTTTTTTAGGGAAATATGGTGCTTTTTATTACATATTCGAATTATACGTGAAAAAATAAGAAACTTTTGTGTTAAACGTTTTTTCTAAAAGTGTCTCCGTCAATCTTAAAATTGACCTTGAAAGTTTATCAGTTACTTTCAAGGTTAATTTTAAGATTTACTTAAAAATTGTTCGCGATTTTTGATAAAAGCCATTTATTTTCATTTTAAAAGGTGTGTAGGGATGATCTGAGACACCCTCTCGCGGAAAAAAGTCCATGTCAATTTATATATAAAAACAAAGGAAAATTATATAGTCTTAAATGATTATATGTAATATCACATATGATTTTATCAGAGCATACATTTTTGTATATGCTTAGATATGATGTCCCTCTCTGACCATTTCTGATCATAAAAAATGATATTAGATACCTCACGTCATTTTGTACAATCAGACATAGTCAGATAATGATACTGATATTATATCTAAACATGTATAAAACCAAAGCAAAGGTTAGTTTTATGTGTGCTTTGATATAAATCATATATGATATTATATATAATCATTTAAGATTATATATGATTTTACCTTTTTTTATATAGACAAATATAATTTTTCCTAAAAATTATATATTGCATTATATATTTAATTAATTATTATGCAATATTTAAAAACAACAGTTATATTTATATTATTATGGAGCAGCTAAGTAATATTTTATTATATAGACAAATATAATTTTTCTTAAAAATTATATTGAAAAGTGAGAAAAGTACTGTAATTTTCAGATCTGATAATATTTATTCATATATGATATCATATATAACTATATTTGGCAAAACATAATTAGATATTGATAAAATCCATATATAGCCAATTTTATATGGACTTTTTTTTCCCGGGCTGTATATTTTAATATTTTATATGTTTAGTTATATTTAAGTTATATTAAGTTTTTAGCTATATTTATATGTTTAGTTTAATTTTTGATTTTTATTGTAATTAATATACAGAGCGTCTCATTTTAATTATCTCGAATATTTTTTAAATAGCGCATTTTCATGAAAAATATTTCAGACAAAAGTAGAGATATAAGATTTGAAGAGGAAAAAAGGATAAGAATTAGTCTGACATAGGTGTAAATGTTAAAATCATGCGAAAGTTTAAATTAAAAGTTGGCAATTTAAAGTATCTTTAAAAAAATATCATCAAATTATTCAATATTTTACTATCCTATTTATATAATTTTTTATGAGGAAATTAAATATTGTGAGAAATTGATTTATATGAATAAATTAGAGTAGTTTCATTTAAAAAAACAAGGTTAATCTCCACCATGGCTTTAGCACTTACACCTAAGATCAAACTAATATCCCTGTTTTTTCCCATTCTAAATTCTAATTTTGATTTTTTACGAAAATGTGTCATTTAAGAGATATTAGGTAGACAATTAAAATGAGACACCTTGTATATTCTCTATGAATATACCCGCGGTAAACAAAATGCGCGCAATTTGTCAGTAGATTGGCGACAGATTTCCACAAAAGTTGCTAGCAGATTGACATCCGTTATGTTCGCAATAGGCTCACGATTTGTTGTCAAAATCTGCTCACAGAATCTAACAGCAGATTGTCAACAAAAATTGAGCAAGATCTGTAGCTTCTGATCATTCATATAAATATATAATATAAATGCAATAAAATTGATTATTACACATGCTAAATAAAACTATTATCGAATTTAATTACAATTTTCTTCTAATATAACATATAATATGTATAATATATGTTATATATCGCAGTTATATCTCCCATAGTGAAGGACTAGTTCAATTTAATTAAATTAATAATAAAATAAATGATGAAAGTAATTAAATTTAACTTATAAAAAAATGATATAATTTATTTAGAATTGAATTCTTCCTTTATGCTTCAAATAGACAGTAAGGTCCAGTTCCACAACTTACTTTAACTGAAGTTCAATTCATTAAAGGAGGATTTACATTGCGTTCAATGTCCGATGTATGACGTTCGATTGGATACAATGGATTTGAAACATAATGTAAATAAGAAGAATAATTAGAATAAGTCGTGGAACTGGGTCTAAATGAATAATTTTCTATTTATCCTATTGATTCCAATCAGATTAATATTCTGAATCTCATCTGCTTGTATCAGAAATTAAAGTGATAGAAATAGTTACTATATTTTTGATCTTTTATTAATAATCGCGACTTTATATACAGAGTGTCCCAAAAATCCCGGACCGGTCGAATATTTCATAAACTATGCACTTTAGAAAGAAATGTTTCAAATAAAAGTTGTATGGCTTGAAGGGAGCCATCAGATAGTGGCAATGATTTGACATGGGAGAGTCATCCTTTGAGTCATCATTTGAAAGTCACGTAAAGATCACCGTCAATTTCTTAAATGGAACCCCCTATTTTTTATTAAATATTCTGGTAGCTTATCTCGAGAGCTTGTCAAAACACTATAATAAAATATTTCTTCATTGAGTACTTTTCGAGTTATGAGGCTTGAAATCATTTCTTAATTTTGCATAAACCATAAAATATCTTGTAAAATATCCATTTTTCGATTATCTTACCTTAATACTTTTATGTATAAAATAATTTTTAATTGCAAATTACATATTTTTTTTTAAAACAACTATGTGTTTTCTTTACACCAATTGATTCCTTTCATTATTTTGTACATAAAAGTATTGGAGTAAGATAATCGAAAAATGAATATTTTACTAGATATTTTATGGTTTATGCAAAATTAAGAAATGATTTCAAGTCTCATAACTCGAAAAATATTCAATGAAGAAATACTTAATTATAGTGTTTTGGAAAGCTCTCGAGATAAGCTACATGAATATGTAGTAAAAAATAGGAAGTTCCATTTAAGAAATTGACGGTCATCTTCACATGACTTTCAAATGACTCTCTCATGTCAAATCATTGCCACTATCTGATGGCGCCCTTCAAGCCATACAACTTTTGTTTGAAATATTTCTTTCTAAAGTGCATAGTTTATGAAATATTCGACCGGTCCGGGACTTTTGGGACACTGTATATTTCTGATAGAAATTTGATTACGAGAAAGTACAGCTCACGTAGTGGTAAGTGAAGGAACTATCGAATCATACAAACCCTATTCCGTTTCTGTCATCAATCTGCTATTAGAGATTGTGTGCGCATATCTTGCTCGATTTTTGTTATCAATTTGCTATCAAATTGTGTCACAGATCCTATTAAATTTCTGCTATCAATCTGCCATCAATTATATCTGCAGGCTTTACTCGATTTCTGCCGATAATTTGACATCAAATTTCATTGCGCAGATCCTATTCGGTTTCTCCCGACAATCTGTTGTCAAATTGCGCTGTACAGATCCTGTTCAATTTTTACTATCAATCTGCCGTTAGTTATATCAACAAGTTCTGTTTGTTTCTGTTGACAATCTTTTGTTTAGTCATGTGAACAGATTTTGTTGTATTTCTGCTGACATGCTGGCAACATAATCAAATATATCAGTTTCTTTCTACAAACTGTAATCCTTCTGCCTTTAAAATTTGTAATGGGCATTTGACGAAAATCTGTTCTAACAGATTTGGTTATCTAGGCATATTCACTTTTCCTCTTTTTCCTCTCACTTTTTTTCTTTTTTTCCCTTTTTTCTTCTCTCCCTTCTTCTTATTCCCCTTCTCCCTATTTCTCCTTTCTTTCTACCTTTCCTGTTCCTTCTTTCCTTCTTCCCCCTTTCTCCATACATGTTTATACGCACAAGCGGGAGGGTCCCGTTTGCTCACGAACCCGATTGCCCACTGCCAATCATATCGACCTGTGCCTAGGGTAACCAGCAACGATTAACCAATCAGAGAGGCCTATTTTGAATTGGTCAATTAGGGCTATCGGATCCCGTGAGCTATCAGATCCCGTCCCGCACAAGCTCATACATAAAGATGTATACAATTTAAATGAAGAATAAAGATATACAGGGTCTTCAAAAAGTCCCGGAATGCTAAAATATCTCAAAAACAATCAACTATAATGAAAAATATGTAAGGAACAAAGTCGTAGAACTAAATAAAATGTACCTAATAATGATAAGAATTTGACTTTGGATGAAGTCATGTGTTTTCTATACACCAATTGATTCCTCTCATTATTTTGTACATAAAAGTATTAAGGTAAGATAATCGAAAAATGAATATTTTACAAGATATTTTACAGTTTATGTAAAATTCAAAAATGATTTCAAGCCTCATAACTCGAGATGTACCTAGTGAAAAAATACTTAATTATAATGTTTTGGAAAGCTCTTGAAATAAGCTATAAGAATATGCAATAAAAAATGGGGAGTTTCATTTAAAAAAAATCAACTTGATCTTCATATGACTTTGAGTATTTCATCCAAGGTCAAATTCTTTATCATTATTAGGTACATTTTATTTAGTCCTACAACTTTGTTCGTTACATATTTTTCATTATAGTTGATCTTCAAAATATTTTAGCGTTCCGGGACTTTTTGAGGACCCTGTATATAGAATTTTTACCATTGTCAGCCTTTTCAGCTTCAATTCCTCTTTGTTTATATCCAAAAATTAAGTCAATCCAATGATGAAGGTTTTGAGAAACATAATCGCTTTCTAAGGCATTTCTTAATTGTTGTACAAAATCGGATGGTCCTAAAATCAATTAATAAACTATTAAATTTTGTTTGAATATTAAATTATACGTGTATCTTTCATAATATGTATAATTAATCATTTACGAATTTTGTGGAAGAACAAATTTTTTATTATTATATTATTCTTTTTACTTTATTTTTATTTTATTAAAAATATTTAAAATATAAATAATGATAAAATAATAATATTTGTTAAACTGGAAAATATTGTTTATATGGGTATTACAGGGTGACCCATTTTAACTTAGGCAGCCAAATAACTCGAAAAATAAGCACACTACGAAAAAATGGTTACAATCAAAATTTCGTCATTTCGAGGGGGACGTACAATGACGTTAAAATCAGCCCCCCCACCCCTCCCCCTGGGCGGTGAGAAGAGGCAAGTTTGAAATCTTAAATGGGAACCCCTATTTTTCATTGCATATTCTTGTAGCTTATCTCGAGAGCTTTCCAAAACACTATAATTAAGTACCTTTTTATTAAGTACTTTTTGAGTTATAAGGCTTGAAATAATTTCTTAATTTTACATAAACCATAAAATTACCATAAAATATCTAGTAAACCATAAAAATTACCATAAAATATCTAGTAAACCATAAAAATTACCATAAAATATCTAGTAAACCAAGAAAAAATATGTAATTTGCAATTAACAATTCCATATTTTTTCTTAAAAACAACTGTATGTTTTCTTTACACCAATTGATTCCTCTCATTATTTTGTACATAAAAGTATGAAGGTAAGATAATCGAAAAATGAATGGTTTACTAGATATTTTATGGTTTATGTAAAATTAAGAAATTATTTCAAGCCTTATAACTCAAAAAGTACTTAATAAAAAGGTACTTAATTATAGTGTTTTGGAAAGCTCTCGAGATAAGCTACAAGAATATGCAATGAAAAATAGGGGTTCCCATTTAAGATTTCAAACTTGCCCCCCCTCACCGCCTAGGGGGAGGGGTGGCGGGCTGATTTTAACGTCATTGTACGTCCCCCTCGAAATGACGAAATTTTGATTCTAACCATTTTTTCGTAGTGTGCTTATTTTTCGAGTTATTTGGCTGCCTAAGTTAAAATGGGTCACCCTGTATAATTTATTATATTATATACTTAGTATTATTGTTTATTTACTTATTATTATATAATTTGAGATTTATATGAATAAGAACGTGCGACATAGGCCTGCGAAGGTCAGTTACAAAAAGCAGAATAGATAAATCTGATAGATTTTTTGACGCTGATAATGAATTTGACCGCAGAATTTCTAGTACATTAAGTTTTCAAGTAATATATATATATATATATATATATATATATATATATATATATATATAGTTAAACAGTCCAAAAATGGCAATTTTGGCCAATTTCATGAATTTATTGGAAGAACCAAATTTTTTGAAATATTTCTGCCAATGGCATCATATACTCCACCAACATATAAACGTTATGGAATCGTTTAAAAAACGTTTAAAAAACGTATTTGGTTTGCTAACCTGCCGAATGGTTTGCTTCTTTAATGATAAGAACGTCCTGTGTAGGACAGTTAAGTCCAAATAATGCTGATGTTTCTAATATTGAATAGAATATTTTTCTTGAATTTTTTTATATGCCTATATATTTTATTTTATATATTTTAAATAATTTAAAAATAATTTAAATAAAAAAACATCTAACTATATAAATAATCTTACTATATAATTTAAATAAAAAACATCTAACTATATATATTTATATGTTTAGCTAGCATCATACCGAATCATATAAGACTGTCTTAGTCAAAAAATTTTTAAATAAACAAAAAAATTGAAGATGACTTTTTTTTCTGAGAAGAATTTTTGACTGAGACAGTCTTGTCTGATCTGGTCCCTAACAGCACATGATATCATTCGAATATTCTATACTTATACTGTAAATATACATTACAGATATAATATATTGAGAATAATCCCATAACATCTCTTGTTGTATATTATTTTTCATATATTCTCAGAATATACTTTGAATATCTCGCGTATTAGTATATTCTTTCTCATATATTTTCCGGATATTCTATAATATTGCATGTGTTTCCTCATTTTGCCGCCACGCGCGCTACCAAACTCGTAGTTTAATTTTGGTGAAATGGACATAAAGGACTGGCATTTAACATGAGTTCTAAAGTTTCTTCTTTTTTCTTTTTAGTCAGTTTAATTTATAATAAGCTGACTTAATTTAAAATTTGTTTAGTAATTTAGTTGTTCTGGATTCTTGATTGGGATTCAGAATATTAAAAAGATTATTTGAAATTAAAATGAGAAATAGTGTGTGCGTTTACGGCATTTATCAAAAGTATTTATATTACATATATGAATTATACTGCAAGATATTCTCAGTATTTACTATTAACCAAAATAGGCGGATATTAGAGCATTCTTAGTATATACCCAGATAGCAAAATGCTAGCAGTATGCCAGCAGTATAACAGCAGATTCAATCATGAATTTGCAGCAGATATCGCTCAGCTGTGTCCTCCTTAAGTTTCTTTTTTCCCAACACGATGTGCCAATATGATGTGATGGCAGAAATGCAGCAGAAATGAAGCACAGTGTGTCGTCATGATATAACAGCAGAAATCGAGCAGGATCTACGCGTGCAATTTGATGTTAGATTGTCAGCAGAAACCGAGCAGAATCTGCGCATTGACAGCAGAAACTTCAACAAGATTTGCGCTTACTTTTATTAATGTTATATAAATGCAATAAAATGGATTATTACAGATGCTAAATAACAATATTATCAGCAAGTTAATTAGAATTTTTTTAGAAAATGACATATATGTAATATGTTATATCGTAGTTATATCTCATATAGTGAAAAACTAATTCAATTTTTCTTTTATTCATATTCGCGATTTTATATATATTTCTGACAGAAATTCAATTACGAGAAAGAACAGCTCACGTAGCGGTAAGTGAAGGAACTATCGAATCATGCAAACCCTGTTCCGTTTCTGCCATCAGTCTGCTATCAGAGATTGTGCGCAGATCCTGCTCGATTTCTGCCGACAATCTGTTGTCAAATTGCGTCGCACAGATCCTGTATTTTAAAAATTAAATGTCATCGTATGACGGCAGAGCATGCTCCATTGCTGCTGTGTTTCTGCTGTCATAGCGTGCTTGCACAAGTTTGATATTTCTGATGAGATTTTGCTATTACACTATGACAACAGATTATGCGTACTCTCAGTATGCATTCTGCCGACACATTATTCCAGCATTGAATTGTTCTATTTATGCTGGTAAAACTCTGCTTTATTTCTGCTGCATTTCTATCATTACATCGTAACGCACGTTATGCTCAACTTTTGCTGTGTTTCTGACAACATTAACTGAAACGGCATATTTTGCTAGAATATTGACAGCATTCTGCTGACATAGTATGCAGCACATAAATTGCAAAACGTGCTCTATCCGATTTTGCTATCTGGGTACTTAATATATCATAGTATGTATCTCGAATGTTCTGAGAATATATGCATTGTACTTTTGCGATATTCTTCGAACATTCTCAGTATCTACATGTGCTGTTAGGGGTGTGATTATAGCCTATGTTTTATTTTTCTTGAGATACGTTTCCAAGAAACGTTTCACAAACGTTTTGTGACAACGTTCGTCAAACTTTTATGATAACCATGAGCAAACGTTTGACCAGGTTTTGGACATTTGCACGTTTTATGAACGTAAACGTTCGAACGTTTCTGAAACGCTTACATAACGTTTATGTATTGGTGGGGTAATACTAGTCTTCACCTTTCAAATCCATTTTCGATTGACGTTGCACGATTTTTTTTCATTGAGATATACAAGTATGAAGTTATAAGAAAATTTACGTTAAAGAAAATTTACATAGACATCAGTATGGCAGATCCATCATCTTGAAATTTAAAAAAGCTTACATATATCAGGTTGGGTTGTCGAAAAAAATATTGTAAATATATATATCTAATACAGTTGTTACACACATTTTGATAAATTTTTCTAAATATTTTATATCTTTTTATCGTAATGCTGTTCGTCATATTGGAAGCGCTATTTTTAATATTAAAAAATAACAGACGGCGTTAAAAATTTATGTTTTTATCCAAATTTTGATTCCTGATAACACAAAGAGATAAAATACGTTGAATTGGAATGGCTTATTGGACAACTATCCATATGGAAAATAATGGGTATAAGACATCCATTAGATATCCTTTATAGGCGCTAAGGAACATATAAAATGAACATATAAAAAAAGTTATTAGAGATGCTGAGATATCCAAATGTCCGCAATTCGAAGTTTAATATCTATAGGATATGTAAACCAATATTCCGCAAATATCCGTACAACATTCAGTAGATATTTATAAAGATACATTTATTATTAATATAAATACGTTTACTATTATGTATTGATATTTATTTCTGCATGGATATTTATTTTATCTTCTGTGATACATGTATGACGTCAGTGTTTGCTGGTATCTAGATAAAATTATCTAGATAATCATCTAGATAAAGAAATAGATCATCTTTATCTTTAACTAAATGAAGAAATACAAAGTATCTTTATCTTTATCTTAGATGAAAAATATATATCATCTTATCTAAAAATTGTCTAAGATGACGTTTCCATTATGCAAAAAAGTTTTCCAGGCAAGCTTCTAAAAATCTATCTAAAATATCTAAAATATATTTTTTATATTATTATCCCAGATAGCAAAATGCTAGCAGTATGCCAGCAGTATAACAGCAGATTCAATCATGAATTTGCAGCAGATATCGCTCAGCTGTGTCCTCATTAAGTTTCTTTTTTCCCAACACGATGTGCCAATATGATGTGATGGCAGAAATGCAGCAGAAGTGAAGCACAGTGTGCCGTCATGATATAACAGCAGAAATTGAGCAGGATCTACGCGTGCAATTTGATGTTAGATTGTCAGCAGAAACCGAGCAGAATCTGCGCATGCAACCTGATGACAAATTGACAGCAGAAATTTCAACAAGATTTGCGCTTACTTTTATTAATGTTATATAAATGCAACAAAATGGATTATTACAGATGCCAAATAACAATATTATCAGCAAGTTAATTAGAATTTTTTTAGAAAATGACATATATGTAATATGTTATATCGTAGTTATATCTCATATAGTGAAAGACTAATTCAATTTTTCTTTTATTCATATTCGCGACTTTATATATATTTCTGACAGAAATTCAATTACGAGAAAGAACAGCTCACGTAGCGGTAAGTGAAGGAACTATCGAATCATGCAAACTCTGTTCCGTTTCTGCCATCAATCTGCTATCAGAGATTGTGCACAGATCCTGCTCGATTTCTGCCGACAATCTGTTGTCAAATTGCGTCGCACAGATCCTGTATTTTAAAAATTAAATGTCATCGTATGACGGCAGAGCATGCTGCATTGCTGCTGTGTTTCTGCTGTCATAGCGTGCTTGCACAAGTTTGATATTTCTGGTGAGATTTTGCTATTACACTGTGACAACAGATTATGCGTACTCTCAGTATGCATTCTGCCGACACATTATTCCAGCATTGAATTGTTCTATTTATGCTGGTAAAACTCTGCTTTATTTCTGCTGCATTTCTATCATTTCATCGTAACGCACATTATGCTCAACTTTTGCTGTGTTTCTGACAACATTAACTGAAACGGCATATTTTGCTAGAATATTGACACCATTCTGCTGACATAGTATGCAGCACATAAATTGCAAAACGTGCTCTATCCGATTTTGCTATCTGGGTATTATTAATATATTATAAATATATTATAAATATATTATAAATATAAATTAATAAATAAATATTTATCATATCATTTATATACCTTTTTGCTATTATTTAAATATTCTTTAGGAAAAGAGAAAGAATATGTGTTTATGATTTTAATATCCCATTTATAGGCTAGCACTTTACATATGTAGCTTTCGAGATAAATTACAAGAGTATATGTTATAGAGTATATTAAGAGTATATATATGAATATGTAATAAGAAATAAGAATTTCCATTTAAAAAATTTAAGATGACCTTCATGTAACCTTGATAATGCTACTTTATGGTCATGCTGATAAGACTAGTAAATAGATATTTTAGAGCTCTACAACTTTTGTATTTAACATTTTTCACTAAAATGAAATCTCTGCAAGTTATTCAAGGAGTTCCATACTTTTTGTACACCTTGTGTGTGTGTGTATACAGGGTGTCCCAAAAGTCCCGGACCGGTCGAATATTTATATTTCATAAACTATGCACTTTAGAAAGAAATGTTTCAGACAAAAGTTATATGGCTTGAAGGGGGCCATCAGATAGTGGCAATGATTTGACATTGATTCCTCTCATTATTTTGTACATAAAAGTATTAAGGTAAGATAATCGAAAAATGAATATTTTACAAGATATTTTACGGTTGTAAAATTAAGTAATGATTTCAAGCCTCATAATTTGGAAAGTACTTAATGAAAACTAACTTAATTATAGTGTTTTGGAAAGCTCTCGACGTGAGCTACCAGAATATTTAATAAAAAATAGGAAGTTCCATTTAAGAAATTGACGGTGACCTTCACGTAACTTTCAAACGACTCTCCCATGTCAAATCATTGCCACTATCTGATGGCCCCCTTCAAGCCATACAACTTTTGTGTGAAACATTTCTTTCTAAAGTGCATAGTTTATGAAATATTCGACCGGTCCAGGACTTTTGGGACACCCTGTATATACATCTATTAGTTAACTATAGAGAGGATATGGACCTCATATAAACATTTAGACATTTATTAGATATCTATTAGACAAATTTTTCTGTGTAGATATATATGACCAGTCTTATAACTTGTATATCTCAGCAAAAAAAAAATCGTGCGGCAGCAATCGAAAATGGATTTGAAAGGTAATGGCTAATACTACACAATGCTATTGACAGAAATATTTCAAACAATTAGGTTTCCTCATAATAAATTCATGAAATTTGCCGAAATAGTCATTTTTAGACTAATTAACCATTTAAATTATTAAAAAACCTGACGTGCTAGAGAAATTATGCGGTCAGATTCATTTTCAGCATTAAAAAATTTATCAGATTCACCTACTCTGATTTTTTATAATTAATCAAACCTTAAATTTCGCAGGCCTGTATTATTTATCATTGTGATTGAAACTGTATAAAATTAGAAATAATCATTTCTCACCTTTTGCCCAAGGAGGAATTTGTACATCACCTATCTTTGTACCATCGTGCCGATAACCAAAGTCGATACCATAATTATTTGTTAGAAAGTCACCGGTATTGCTCGTGTCATAAAACTCCGGTATCAATTCTTTAAAGTCAGACATGTTCACCAAAACATTTTTCCACACGTCGGCTATACTGTTAGGTGTTTTTGTTGATAAAAGTGAAACATAAAATCGTTTCTGCGCATTTGACAAAGTAATTATGTGACACTCTTACATTTTTTAAAAAGTTTTTTATAATATTTTGCCTTTCCTTACGAAATGAAAATGTGTATTTTTTAAATATAAATTATGATTTTCTATAGCCATAAATTCCTTTCACATTGCATCATTATTGTATATATTGTAAAATTAGTATCCAAGGGTTAAAAAAAGGTTTGACATATACCTGTTAAACATTCTATCTGGATGATCGAATCTTCCATTTTGTAGACAGAGCATATACTGAGGGTATTTCCGTACTAAATAAAATAGTACAAAACCTGGTGCACTGTAATGAGAACCATATAAGAATTTTGGATCAGACATTTCCAAATATCGTTCCTGCAAAATGCAAAAATAGAAAATTAAAAAAAGAATACTGGCTTTGCACTTCAATACATATACATATATATTTCATTAAAACAGTAATGAGAATCGAAACATGAAATAATGTAAAAAATGTTCATATTTATATGCATAAAGTTTACTTTAGCTCGAGAAACACTTAAAAATTATATACAGAAAAATTTGAAATATTCTATATATAATAAATATACATATACACATGTGCGCACACATACACACGCACACGCATACGTATTCCAAATTTAAATATCAAACTTTGTGAGCATGTAAAAGATCGATAAACTAATTGTAAGTAAAAACGTCATTTCGAGATTTGCTCGTTTTTGATCCGTTTTGAAAATCGCAAAAAAAGAAACAAAAAGTTTTTTTCTTATTTATTTACATTTATTTATTCATGTTATCATCTATTTAATGAAGATACTGTTTAAAATGCTAATCTCTTGCAGCAATGAAGAATTGAAGACTAAGAGATTGAATCGTAACTGTAGTGCACCAAATATCAGAACAATGTCTAGTTACAATTAGAGTGCTCAATGCTAGATGTAATGTTTGTATTGCTGCAAGAAGCCAGCATTTAAACAGTATTTTCATTAAATAGATGAATAATAAATGTAAATAAGAAAAAAACGAAAGCTTTTTTGTTTCTCTTTTATGATTTTTTTTCCAAAATAGAGCAAAAACGAACAAATCTCGAAAGAGCTTTTTTTCTTAGTTTATCATTCCTTTATACATGAAATTTTGACGTTTAAATTAGAGACACTTTACATATGTAGCTTTCGAGATAGTAGATTACAAGAATATGTAATAAGAAATAAGAATTTCCATTTAAAAAATTTAAGGTGACCTTCATGTAACCTTGATAATGCCACTTATGGTCATGCTGATAAAACTAGTAAATAGATATTTTAGAGCTCTACAACTTTTGTATTTAACATTTTTCACTAAAATGAAATCTCTGCAAGTTATTCAAGGAGTTCCATACTTTTTGTACACCTTGTGTGTGTGTGTGTGTGTGTGTGTGTACAGGGTGTCCCAAAAGTCTCAGACCGGTCGAATATTTCATAAACTATGCACTTTAGAAAGAAATGTTTCAGACAAAAGTTGTATGACTTGAAGGAGGCCACCAGATAGTGGCAATGATTTGACCTTGGAGAGTCATTTGAAGGTGACGTAAAGGTTACCTTTAATTTCTTAAATGGAACCCCCTATTTTTTATTACATATTCGTGTAGCTTATCTCGAGAGTTTTCCAAAACACTTTTATAATAAAGTATTTCTTCATTGAGTACTTTTCGAGTTATGAGGCTTGAAATCATTTCTTAATTTTGCATAAACCATAAAATATCTTGTAAAATATTCATTTTTCGATTATCTTACCTTAATTCTTTTACGTATAAAATAATAAGAGGAATCAATTGGTGTAAAGAAAACACATAGTTGTTTTAAAAAAAAATATATGTAATTGTTAATTGAATATTTAGCAAGATATTTTACGGTTTACGTAAAATTAAGAAATGATTTCAAGCTTCATAATTCGGGAAATACTTAATGAAAACTAACTTAATTATAGTGTTTTGGAAAGTTTTCGAGATAAGTTGTAAGAATATGCAGTAAAAAGTAGGCGGATCCATTTAAAAAATTGAAGACCTGTTGAATTGTGACCTTCACGTGACCTTTAAGTAACTATTCAAGGTCAAATTAATGACACCATCTTATGTCCCCCTTCAAAACCATACAACTTTTGTCTGAAACATTTTTGCTGAAAATGCTTCATTGAAGAATTATCTAAGTTTTAAAATGGGACACCCTGTATACACAGGATGAGTCAGGACTTCTGCAACAAACTGTGAGGGACGAAAGAAGGATCATTTTTGTCAAACAACCCATGTTTTCTAACGCGTCGTTTAGATGCTACGCGACCGCGAAGGTCTTACAATTATAAGTACGGAAGTATCTCCCTCCGATTTTGATGAGCTTTTAATAAGTTGTTTTCTAGACAAAAATAAGGGATACATATTTTTTTATACGTGTCCATACGCATGTCAAAACACTTCTTTGAAAAAAATCGATTTTTCCTTTTGAGATGAATATTTCAGAAACTATGAGATAGAAAAAAATTTTTCAAATTAAAAGTTAAGTGATTTCAAGAATACTTTACAATAACAAAAAAAAATTTTGAAAAATTATTTTGAAAAATGAAAAAAATAAATTTTTTTTTGTTATTGTTGTAAAATACTCTTGAAGCCATTTAACTTTTAATTTGAAAATTTTTTTCTATTTCTTATATAGTTTCTGAAATATTCATCTCGAAAGAAAAAAATCGAGTTTTTCAAAGGGGTGTTTTATTCTTTAAATACGCGGGGCACGTATAAAAAAATACATGTCCCTTATTTTTGTCTAGAAAACAACATATTAAAAGCTCATCAAAATCGGAGGAAAACACTTTCGTGCCTATACGTAAGATCTTCGCGGTCTTCAGCATCTAAATGACGTGCTAGAGAACATGAATTATTTGAGACAAAATGGTTCTTTCTACAAGACCTATCGTCCCTTACAGTTTGTTGCAGAAGTCCTGAATCACCCTGTATATATTCTTATATATTAAATAAATATATTATACGTATCTAATATAAAAAAAATATTTGATATAAAACACATATACTTTTAATTTCTCTAAACGAGAAGGATTTAATGCACCAATAGGTTTCGAAAGATCTCTATAAACGTTAGTATCATTTAAATCTAATGTCGTAGAAGTGTAGTCTTGTATAATCCATGGAAATATTGGGTACTGTGTCAAATCGTGAAATGTTCTATCAGCCAAACTGAAACATTGTAAAAAAAATAGATTATATAATATACTCTTTAAATAATTTAGTATTTCTCTTTATCATATTATTAATAATCAATTTAAAAAATCTTATAATTACCTGTTTACATATAAAATATAATCATAATTCGATATATATCCATTTTGCCATCTCATTGTAATTTGATTTTGAGGTATAGTTTCCAGAGAAACCATCGATTGTTTAAATAAATTTTCATATAACTTATCTCTGTCATCTTGACTTTGAAATGACAAAAATAAATGTTCAATTTTATTATCAACTTGTCGCACCCATTTAATTTCAAGACCCTGCAAACAATATTGCATTAATATTGTTACTCTTTATAATAAAAATTTTATTAAAGTATTATACGTATGTATGTATGTGCGCGCACGCGTGCATTAGTGTATGTAACTTGTCCAGGGAGAGAAAAATCCACAGTTTGCGCTCAGACGAGCAAAATGGGAAGAAAGTAACACTACTATTAGTTTTTTTAAGCATTCTAAGGAGAGATTAACTTGCGCGAAAATAGACGAATTTTTATCAAATCTATGTTTGCATATTCTGAACAGAGTTTTAGACATACACACGCATACGCATGCATATAAATATACATATAGAGTGTTCCAAAAGTCCCGGACCGGTCGAATATTTCAAAAACTATGCACTTTAGAAAGAAATGTTTCAGACAAAAGTTATATGGCTTGAAGGGGGCCATCAGATAGTGGCAATGATTTGACATGGGAGAGTCATTTGAAAGTCACGTGAAGATCACCGTCAATTTCTTAAATGGAATCCCCTATTTTTTATTACACATTCGTGTAGCTTATCTCGAGAGCTTTCCAAAACACTATAATAAAGTATTTCTTCATTGAATACTTTTCGAGTTATGAGGCTTGAAATCATTTCTTAATTTTACATAAACCGTAAAATATCTTGTAAAATATTAATTTTTCGATTATCTTACCTTAATCATTTACTAAATATTTTATGGTTTATGTAAAATTAAGAAATGACTTCAAGCCTTATAACACGAAAAGTACTCAATGAAGAAATACTTTATTACAGTGCTTTGGAAAGCTCTCGAGATAAGCTACACGAATATGTAATAAAAAATAGGGAGTTCCATTTAAGAAATTGAAGGTGACCTTTACGTCACCTTCAAATGACTCTCCAAGGTCAAATCATTGCCACATCTGGCCCCCTTCAAGCCATACAACTTTTGTCTGAAATATTTCTTTCTAAAGTGCATAGTTTATGAAATATTCGACCGGTTCGGGACATTTGGGACACTCTGTATATGATGGCAGAGTATTGGATTATGAAATATTTACCACTTGTCGCAATAGAAATCTTCTTCTTATAATATTTTGTATATCTTTCAATTGAATCTTAAGAACAGGATGCTGAAATATAAACAATGTTATAATTAATACGATATATTTCTTCTTTTCATGTCGTATGGAAAAGAAAGAGAGATCCTATTAAAAAACCATTTATAATAAAAAATGATAATTACCTGATCCATATTATTATACGGTTGAAAATAAATTCTCGAAGTAGTCAATAATACTCTGCCTGGATTTACCACAAGTGGTAATACTTTGTTTGCTTGTGTCTCTAAAACTACTTGTTCGTATAAATCTTCGAGCCACGATGTGTCAAAAGATATTCGTGATTGTCTGGAGTGTACAATAGCCATAATCTTCAAAAAGCATTATTTTATGAGAAAACCTTAATATTATATCCATATTAACCCATTTGCATCAGCGTATATATATATATACGCGCAATTGTTTGGTCATTTTCACCAAAGTGCACTGTTTTCTTAGATGACATTATGAGTTGGCGTGAATAATTTAGAGTTATTTGTACCGAATAAAGTAGTATAATATAGTAACTATAAAGTAACTATAAAGTAGTAACTATAAAGTAGTATAATAAAGTAACTATAACTATTAGAGATAGTGCTGTTCAGTGTCTTCAAATAAAAGTTTGTAGAAGAAATCATTGAAAAATATATTAAAAAAATAAAAATACCACAAAAAAACGAAAAGTTACATCATGTTCATCTTCACCATCAAGATTTACTAATCAACATTTTCCAATTCAGACTGAAACAACTTCATTGAGGAAAGCTCAAAAGCGTTATGTAGTTTGTTTATCACAAACAAGAGAAGAGAAACAATTTATCATCGGTAACTGTCAAGTAGCTATATGCATTGACCATTTCAAATACTATCATACAAAACAATTAGTGTGGATTGTTCTCAATATCAACATATGTAGTTATGTACATAATAATTTCGTTGAGACTCTCTTCATCTTACATAATTAATTTTTTAATTCTTTCATCCTTTTATTACAGAGCACGGATTCTTATCATGAAGTCGACATATGACACACGACACATGATTCTTATTATAAAGATCAATACATATATCAACTTCTTTCTCCATTTCATCTTTCACAAATCACTGGAAAATTAAGTTTTTAATACTTTTTGCAATGTTTCGAAATCTAATTTAAAAAAAATTTGGTGATAAGAGACTATTTTTCATTTTTTCGTATGATGCAAATGGGTTAATAAACCTTAAATATGATTGAAAGGATTTAAAAGTTAATCATTAACTTAAATTACCATAGCATTTTGTTCTGCGGTTGCTAAACTTGCTGCTCTATGTAATTGTAAGATATGTGGAAGGCAATCTTCTATTTTTGCATAATTGAAACAGAAGCGAAATATAGTATTTTGATGTATAAATTTGTATGGTGCTAATATGTTTTTCTCCAGCATTTCCACATGTTGTTTACTTTCCACTGACAGCATATCTCTAAGTAAATTCAAATATACATAAATAAATATACAATTGTAATAATAATGCCAAAGTACATAATAGTGCAAGAGAGACAGATAAAAGCTAAAATATTTAAAAAACTAAATTTCAGCCTATATATTTCCTACTCTATACATTTTTTCTTTGCCTTCTGCGTTTCTGGCTGTATTCAATATGCACTTGCTCTACCCTGCTATATCATTGCTCGATGTACATTGTTCCACAAATATAGTCTCTTTGAGTTGAATCTTGATTAATGGCTGGTTAATATCTTTATTGACAAATACCAAAGATTTAGAGCATAGCTTCAATCTCCCTTCCATCCAGTTTTTATTTTCAGAAAATTTAGCATCTAGCTTTTTCATCTGAACACTATAATCTTCAAAAAATATTTCCCCTGGTTCCAAAAGAAGCATTGTAAATCTGTAAACATTGTAATTGATATTCAACTTACTAGTAATATAGTGCAGTATACAATATTCTAATAAAATTCACTATTGGAAAAAGAACATGCATAATATTGTCAAAATTTGTATATTCTGTTGAAATATAAAAATAGACTATTTAAACAAGAACTCGAATATTTAAACTATTATATAAAAAAACAAAACAAGAGCAATAGCTTGCTTGAATAAAATATGTTTTGTATGTTTATAAAATATGAAAATATTGCAATTTTTTTAAAAATTGATTTCTCTAAAATATGAAACATTTATATATTCATATTTGTAGTATTATTTTGAGACTGAAACTTCTAAAAAATTTGATCTAATAGATATTTTTTACACAATAATAATCTATCCAGGAATATCCATAGAACATGAAACTTATAATGACATCATTATGACGTCACCTAAAAGTCATTTTACAAAAATCATAATGATCTCATTTGATATACTTTTGGCAATGTTTTGGTGACTTATTTTTGATATTAAACAATTCTAGCGAATTCTGTTGGAGAATATATATACTTCGCGTATGAAATTTTAAAAATCAATCATAATAATATCATTTTTTGTATATATTACGCAATTACTTGTTTATTTAATCATTCATGTATATTTTAATTATATTTAAGCAGCATAATCTTTTTAAAATTATATAATGCGATTATTGAACTTAAAAATTTATGATTCTTTTTGTCATCTTTAACTCATTTTTTAATCATATATGTTTAGGTAACTTTTAAGTGATAAATAAAATCATGATAACGTCATAATGAGAGCTTTATGACGTCACCTAAAAGTCATTTTAGAAAAATCATAATGATTTCATTTGATGTACTTTTGGCAATGTTTTGGTGACTTACTTTGGATATTAAAAAAAATTTCGTTGGAGAATATATATACTTCCCGTATGAAATTTTAAAAATCAGTCATAATAATATCATTTTTTGTATATATTACGCAATTATTTGTTTATTTAATTATTCCTGTATATTTTAATTATATTTAAGCAACATAATCTTTTTAAAATTATATAATGCGATTATTGAACTTAAAAATTTATGATTCTTTTTGTCATCTTTAACTCATTTTTTAATCATATTTGTTTAGATAACTTTTAAGTGATAAATAAAATCATGATGACGTCATAATGAGATCATTATGACATCATCTAAAAGTCATTTTAGAAAAATCATAATGATCTCATTTGATATACTTTTGGCAATGTTTTGGTGATTTATTTTTGATATTAAACAATTCTAGCGAATTCTGTTGGAGAATATATATACTTCGCGTATGAAATTTTAAAAATCAATCATAATAATATCAATTTTTATATATATTACGCAATTACTTGTTTATTTAATTATTCATGTATATTTTAATTTATTTAAGCAGCATAATCTTTTTAAAATTATATAATGCGATTATTGAACTTAAAAATTTATGATTCTTTTTGTCATCTTTAATTCATTTTTTAATCATTTTTTGTTTAGGTAACTTTTCAGTGATAAATAAAATCATGATGATGTCATAATGATGTTATTATGAGTTTCATGTTGTACTTGGGAATGTCCATGTTAATCTGTGAAGAAAGATAAATATTGTCACATACATATTGAAGACATACATATTTTATCTCGAATTTCGATGAAAGTATACATATTCGAAGTCTTGTGATATGTAAATCAATTTTCATATTATAAATAGAAAAATATAATTAAGATTAAGCATATTTTAGAAAATATAGAATGTAATCCGTATCTTTTAAAAAAATATTTGATACATTTATATTCTGAATGGAAATAAAAAAATATTCGTAGTAGCTTATTCCTAGAAATTCTAAATTCTAACCTTAAAAAGTAACACTTTAACTAGCTCTTAATATAAAAAATTCAAGTTTTTTTTCATTAAATATGTTGTTTCGCACAAGAAAAGTATAGTTTAATTAATTTTAACAAAGTTGAAAATACAAAACAACAATTATATCTTCTCTAGAAACTCATTAAAAAAGTTCAACTTACCTCTCTTTCTCCATTATTATTGTATAATTCAAATATTAAATTCTATAATCGCAAAATATAAAACTCTATCAGACTTGATGTTTTTATAAGCAAAATTTTTACAATTATACAATTGTATATGTAAATGTAATGATTTAATCTAAGGGCCTCCGCACAAGGTGTTCCGTATCGCATTACGTTACGTTAAGTATAGGACGTAAACTTAACTCCGTACGTAAATTTAAACTTCAATCAACGCACAGAAAAAATCGTAACGTAAAGATAATAGAACTCATTAGAAATATCATCTCATATATAAGAAATATTTATAAGTTAAATATAAATATTTATGGCCGGTATTCATAGCCCGGTCTTATATTTAAGATCATCTTAAGAACGCATTCAACCAATCAAATAGCTACAATGCAGCTATTGATTGGTGGAATGAATTCTTAAAGGTGCGGCCTCATTGACGCTAAAAAGTAGCGTCAACCATTGGTTGAACAATGAAGCAACTATACTTACCTCTTTGTTCAACCAATGGTTGACGCTACTTTTTAGCGTCAATGAGGCCGCACCTTAAGATGATCTTAAATATAAGACCGGACTATGGCCGGTATTCATAGTCCGATCTTATATTTAAGATCGTCTTAAGGCCGGATCTACAATAGATAATTTAAGCCCTAAGCCTTAAGAAATTGACCAATTACAGTCGAGTATTCTCTTCATACTTGACTATGATTGGTCAATTTCTTAAGACTTAGGTCTTAAATTGTCTATTGTAGACCCGGCCTAAGTCTGCTTGGAGGTTGACTTAAGACCTCATTCAACCAATCAAATAGCTGCGTAGCATTTCAAGCTCGAACTTAAGACGATCTCAAATATAAGATCGGACTATGAATACCGGCCTATGAATACCAACCTATAAGTTCCTTGTTTTATGCCCGGTTCCACAACTCGAGTTAATCGAAGTTTAATACGTTAAACTGGGTCCTGATTGGTCCATTCACTACTTAAATTCGGATTAACTGGATCGTGGAACTGGGCCTTAGGTCAGGTCTACAATAGGTAATTTAAGCCTTAAGCCTTAAGAAATTGATCAATCACAGCCGAGTATTCTCTTCATACTTGATTGTGATTGATCAATCTCTTAGGCCCGGTTCATTGGTCCATTCACTACTTAAACTCGGATTAACTGGATTGTGGAACTGAGCCTAAGGCCCGGTTCCACAACTCGAGTTAATGGACCAATCAGGACCCAGTTTAATGTATTAAACTCGGATTAACTCGAGTCGAAAACAAGTATCGTGTACTGCTGGCTTTATACAAAATATCATGTCCTTATCTTATATACAGGGTGTTCTAAAAAGGCATGTCAAAAATTTAAGGAGCTGTTCGAACTCTCCTGGTGGAAACTTAGGCCCGATTGCACCAACGTCATTCTAGCTTAGGTGAGTTTTTACTTGACGCTCATTTTTTAGAGTCAAAAACATCACGTGATTAAAAATAAAGATACCAATTCATCATTTTTTGATAACATAATGTCTTTTGACGCTAAAAATGAGCGTCGAGCGTCAAGTGAAAATCCATCCTTAAGGTGCAATTTCATTGACGCTAAAAAGTAGCGTCAACCATTGGTTGAACAAAGAAGCAACTACTTACTTCTTTGTTCAACCAATGGTTGACGCTACTTTTTAGCGTCAATGAAATTGCACCTTTAAACGAAACTTAAATATATATCTATCTTTATCTTTCTTTCTAAATAAATAAAGACAGACATATATTTAAGTTTCGCTTAAAGCTGAAATAACGTTAGTGCAACCGGGCCTTAAGGCTATTCTACAATGACCGTAGCATAAGGTTGTAAAGCATAAGAGTCAAGAAATTGATCAATCACAGCCGAGTATTCTCTTAATACTTGACTGTGATTGGTCAATTTCTTGAATCTTACAACCTTATGCTACGGCCATTGTAGAATGGCCTTTGAAGGTCATTCTACAATGGCCGTAGCATAAGGTTGTAAGGCGTAAGACTCAAGAAATTGACCAATCACAATAAAGTATTAAGAGAATACTCGATTGTGATTGATCAATTTTTTGAATCTTACGCTTTACAACCTTATGCTACGGCTATTGTACAATGGCCTTAAAGGTCGGATCTACAATAGGCAATTAAAGCTTCAAGCCTTAAGAAATTGACCAATCACAGTCGAGTATTATCTTCATACTTGACTATGATTGGTCAAGAAACGGTCATTATTAAAGCATTTTTTAAAATGTATTGTTCATCAGACATTTTTCTAAACTTTTAGAACGTCCTGTGTAACATTCATTATAATGTAAAAAAAACTATTTTTAAAGTAAAAATTAATTGTATTTTCATTGCAATTATCGAAAAAAAAGGACTACTATCAAAAGACGCTATTATGTTACACTTTTTCGTTAAAATCCATTGCTTTATATTTCATTTTTCTTCTCTTAAACTCTACAACAGGATTAATACATAATTTTAGTAGACAAACAAATAACAGTATTTGCTACTGTTTGCATACTTGGATTACACACATGTGTGCGCGTGTGTATATGAATGTATGTGCATGTATGTATGTAGAATAATTATATACTCTACCTGTTGATCTTTAATTTTTGTTGATTGCATGCTCCTTACATGCTTATATTTTTACAGTAAAAACTGATTAAAATGTCTTGTTTTTCACTCATATTTCCCTACAAAATTATTGTAGATAATAAGTTATTTTCATATCTGCGCATGCTCCAAAATTATTATTCAAATTACAAATACTGTATGCGCGACTGTATTGTAACACATTGTTAATAGCAATGATTTTAATGACACTTATATTAATTGGTATAAAAACAAATGAATATTCATACGGAGCTAGCAATATAAGCAATTTCTCGTCTAGCGTAATTTTTTAAAATCAATTATTTGGCAGTTAAGTTTCAGTGTTGTTTGTATTGTCCTCTTTCACTTCTAAGATTCTCGGACCATACAGAAGAACGTATGCACAATGCCAATCACCACCTCCGCTGAGTTTTAAAACTTCCTCGGTAGTAACAGCTGTAACAACATCATCATCGCATTTCATCCATGTATCACCCTTTTGACAAATCCATGCAACATAATGACCACTACTGCTAGAGCGTCCTCGGTGCGTCAGAACCGCTTGTAATTTATAGTAACCGCTATTATTTGATCCCAAATCTGCAATATTATAAATGAATATATGGATATATACAAATATATGAACATGGTACAAAATTTTTGTAGAATATATGATTAAATCTTAAATCACATTTCTTTTCATATTCTTACCATTCTTAAACCAGAATGGTTCTTGCTTTATTGTTTTTTTTATACTATCTCCTTCATCTTTAACTTTTACATTACAAGATTCGTCTACCAACGTATCTTCATATTCTTTAAATTTCTCACGCATTGGTATGAGTTTATTTTGAAGTTCAGGGCTACATAATTCGAAAGCATCAAATTCCAAGGGAAATTTAACATCTTTCAATATCTTTGCATTAATCGCTTCTTTTTCCTTATAATAAAATCGTACAAACTGTATAGTTAAATATGCTGGTAACCTGCTAATTTTTGACTGAAAAAATACAAATGCATATATATTTTCAAAATATACATATATACATACATACATACTCTATACATATACATATACATATACATATACATATATATATATATATATATATATATATATATATATATATATATATACAGGGTCTACCAAAAGTGTGGAAACCCCTAAATATCTCGGAAAATATACGTTTTACAGAAAAGTGTTTCCAACAAAAGTTGTAGGGTTTAAGAAGATCTATATACTGATTCTATCAGTTTGACCTTGGATGGCGTCGTCAAGGTCAGGTCAAGGTCACATTGACTTTTTTAAATGACACCCCCTACATTTGATTGCATATTCTTATAGCTTAATTCAAGAGCTTTCCAAAACACTATAATAATGTTCATTTTTATTAAGTACTTTGCGAGTTATGAGGGTTGAAATAATTTCTTAATTTTACATAAACCATAAAATATCTAGTAAACCATTCATTTTTCGATTATCTTACCTTCATACTTTTATGTACAAAATAATGAAAGGAATCAATTGGTGTAAAGAAAACATACAGTTGTTTTTAAGAAAAAATATGGAATTGTTAATTGCAAATTACATATTTTTTCTTAGAAACAACTATGTGTTTTCTTTACACCAATTGATTCCTCTCATTAATTTGTACATAAAAGTATGAAGGTAAGATAATCGAAAAATGAATGGTTTACTAGATATTTTATGGTTTATGTAAAATTAAGAAATTATTTCAACCCTCATAACTCGCAAAGTACTTAATAAAAATGAACATTATTATAGTGTTTTGGAAAGCTCTTGAATTAAGCTATAAGAATATGCAATCAAATGTAGGGGGTGTCATTTAAAAAAGTCAATGTGACCTTGACCTGACCTTGACGACGCCATCCAAGGTCAAACTGATAGAATCAGTATATAGATCTTCTTAAACCCTACAACTTTTGTTGGAAACACTTTTCTGTAAAACGTATATTTTCCGAGATATTTAGGGGTTTCCACACTTTTGGTAGACCCTGTATATATATACAGGGTGTCCCAAAAGTCCCGGACCAGTCGAATATTTCATAAACTATGCACTTTAGAAAGAAATGTTTCAGACAAAAGTTGGCTTGAAGGGGGCCATCAGATAGTGGCAATGATTTGAGAGTCATTTGAAGGTGACGTAAAGGTCACCTTCAATTTCTTAAATGGAACCCCCTATTTTTTATTACATTTATTATTCGTGTAGCTTATCTCGAGAGCTTTCCAAAACACTATAATAAAGTATTTCTTCATTGAGTACTTTTCGAGTTATGAGGCTTGGAATCATTTCTTAATTTTGCATAAACCATAAAATATCTAGTAAAATATTCATTTTTCGATTATCTTACCTTAATACTTTTATGTACAAAATAATGAGAGGAATCAATTGGTGTAAAGAAAACACATAGTTGTTTAAAAAAAAAAAAAATATGTAATTGTTAATTGCAAATTACATATTTTTTTTTTAAAACAATTATGTTTTTTCTTTACACCAATTGATTCCTCTTATTATTTTGTACATAAAAGTATTAAGATAAGATAATCGAAAAATGAATATTTTACAAGATATTTTACGGTTTATGTAAAATTAAGAAATGATTTCAAGCCTCATAATTCGGAAAGTACTTAATGAAAACTAACTT